ATATGCTATTGTCACAAAGCAGAATAATCCCACTGAGCCACATTTTAAATATACAGGATCATTAAAAGAAGTTATTTATTCTCTCTACATCTCAAATTTTACGTTATTACATAAAATCTCCCCATTATTGCAAAAAGAAAGTACCCACGATAAATACTGAACTGAAAATATATTGTTCTAGCTATCATATATTGGACGATAAGTAAATATTGTAATTATCGTGACAGGCCTTAATGCCTCATATCTATGAACACAAATAGGTCAAGTTTGTGAAGTTTAAAGTCGAAATCTCACATACTAGTTATACTAATATTTGGTACTGCCATGTGATGTACTTTATCCTAACTGGAGACTACTCTGAATGCTATGCAATCTGTGACTTTGCCTATGTGACATTACTCTTTTGGACTACATGAAGTTTAGCTGTTTAAAACCCAAATCTTATATATTTCCTTTAAAATTTTGGTTATATCAAATCTTAAATACAGTTCCTTTATAAATGTATGCATTTTAAAGTCCAAATCTTACATATGGTTCCTTTAAAGTTTGGGTTATACCAGTATTTGGTACTGCCATGTGATGTATTTTATCCTAAATGCAGACTACTTTGAATGCTAAGCAACTTGTGACTTTGCCTGTTTGACATTACTCTTGGGGATTATATGAAGTTTATGCAGTTTAAAATCAAAATTATACATACAGAAACTTTTAAAATTTTGGTTATATCAAGTCTTATATACAGTTCCTTTAAAATTTGGGTTATATTTGGTACTGCCATGTGAGGTATTTTATCCTAATTGCAGACTACTTTGAATGCAACCTGTGACTTTACCCGTGTAGGATTACTATTTGGGATTATATGAAGTTTATGCAGTTTAAAATCCAATTCTTACATACGGTTCCTTAAAAATTTGGGTTATACTAGTATTTGGAACTGCCATGTGATGTACTTTATCCTAATTGCAGACTACTTTGAATGCTAAGCAACTTGTGACTTTGCCCGTGTGACATTACTCTTCAGGACTATATGAACTTGTAGTCATCACCACCAGTCTTTAATGCGGTTGCCTTTAATTCAGGTTCAAAGATTGAGACGTGTCCAAGGAGCGCTTCATCTACACAAGCATTAAGAATGACTGGCTTTATGAATGCAAGCAATGGAAAAATTGGGTCGAGTTTTAATCAAAAAATCGGCGCTCAATATTCAAGAGACGTGACTACCTGCTGCTTATTCCTGGTGCTCAGTGGGTTTACAAATGAGGACAGTCTTTAAATAATATGGAAATGGTTAGCATTTATTCTCCAGTGAGTCATCCATCTAGTGTTTTTGCATCGCAGAATCACATTTTATGTTAACCGGCAACCTTCACCAAGGATAATGGAGTGATTGGTCCAAGTCAATACGAATGGCAAAACATGAGCACCCTTCACCGCGGTACTCCCTCTATTGATCTATCCATTCGGGGGGTCACAGCAGCGCAATCTAATCTGCTCTTACGATGATAAAACTTCTGCTTTTGAAAATGAAAGAAAGTTTTTGAGGTGAAAACTCTCGAATTTGCATCTCCGAGTCTGTACGTTGGTGATTACAGACAGTATATATCTATCATACAATGTGATATTCTCTTCAGCTCATTTCCTTTTGTTCATTTGTGGTTACCTTAAGAGTAGCGTGAAAATAATTGGACAAACTGCAAAATAATGCCAGCAAATTACAGCTACGATTTAGCTGAAGACTTGATGGGGGTTAATGAGCTGGAATAATATTTTGGACTCTGCCAAATACATAAATTCCACCATATTTGAACGGAAAAACGTCCTCTAATTGTCCATTTCGGAGACATTTAAGTTTGGAAAAAGTTCTATTAGATCAAAATCTTTGCTAATTACTAATAACAAAGTGTATTAATGATTCAAGAGTTCACACTTCATAATCTGCCATAGAAGTAGTGGAGGAAATAACATTAATTTGCATTTTTCTTTTTTAGGTTAGGTTAGGTTTCTTTATTTCTAAGTAAATTTGTTTTGCAGTTTGGGAGGCTGGTCTCACATTTCACATTTCATTCAATCGCACTTTAGACAACAGATACATAATTATAAAGAAACAACACAAATTTCCTTTTTTTGGTTACTGTGTGGGATTAATTGTACCGTATTTTTCGCACTATAGGGCGTTCTGGATTATAAGGCGCACTGTCATTGAATGGTCTATTTTTGAACTTTTTTCACACATAAACCGCATTAAACGAAACAACAGTTAGATGGGACAGTTGGACTTTGTTTGGTGCGTTCACGGTGACCCTCGGCTTTGTTCAATTGTGGCGCGTAGGGAGGGTGCTGTCTGGGACTGCTGGATTGTTGGCGTGTTCGGGGTGACTAGAAGTGGCACACTGCACTCACTTTTTCGGTTCGTTCCTCTGTTCCATTCCTCGTCCTCGTGGAGTGATGAGTGTGGCTGCGGGTGTTTTGACGCAGTGTGGTCGATGTCTGTTCCGAGTGTGTTTGCGTGCGCTGTGGGTGGTGCGGCTTTGTAGTGTACTGAAGTGGTGCTGGGACACCCGAATGGATTCGTGTATAGGATTGTGGAGCACGCAGTTGTTTTTTGATGGGGTTGAAGGCTAAAGAGCGTGCCCTATAGTCCGGAAAATACAGTATTTAATATTCTGTGATTGGTTAACCCACCTGTCAATCAAGCCCATCAAACTGATCCGAGACTAGAGCTGCTCGATTATGACAAAAGTATAATCAAGGTAAATTTGAAGTCATAACTGAAATGAAAATTATGACTTATGTACTGTCAAAAGTCAAGTTATAGTGAAAGCTTATTATCATTTGAGTGCTTTTGCTGTAGGTATTGACAAGAAAATTCAGAAGTTACTTAATTGGATTTTTGTTTTTTGTATTTTTGTAATTGATTGTTGTAATTTAATTGTAAACACGATTAATGAACGATTAATTGCACGGTGAGATTCCAGACTATGCCTTTGTAAAGTACTGTAACCATGTAGTGGGTTGGCCAGGCTAGACAGACACCACTGTTACTGTATTATCCTTTTTTTGTGAGGTATGACAGCTCTTTTCCTCACTGAAAAGCATGAATCAAGTTTGCAGGTAGCGCGAAGGTGTTTTGTGGAGATTAATTTCACAAACAATAACACAATAATGAGCTTAAAACCTTGTGAGAGTAACTTAGTGTTAATATCTTGGACTAAACCTGGGAAGCACAACTTAGTTTAACAACAAAATGTTTGGGAATCCGATATAGCAAACATCCCAGCCTCTCCCACCCACACTCATTTATTTGAGGACCCCACGAACCTAAGTAATTCTGCTTTGGGCTTGTCGCTGATGGGAGACGGGGGTAGGGGGGTGATGGAAGTGCCTCGCGTCCAGGCAGAATTGATCGTTTTCCAGCTCCAAATGAGAGACACAGCCTTGTCTGCAGAAGAAGAGGGCCACGCAGTCGGACTCCTGCAGCGCTCGTAAAAGTGCGCTCTTTAAACTGCCGGGGCCCCTGGGAGCCCGTGGTGGAGGTGGGGGGAGCCGCCGCCGCGCTAATGAGAACTACCAGAGTGCAAACATGCATGGAAATGACTGTTATTCTGTTGATGTGCATTTAAGTGCTTTTTTACTGCCAACCACAAAGAGAGCGAAATAACTGGTGATGAATGGTAGCCCCGAAAAGCATTCATTTTCCTCTTCGGAAGAAAACAGTGCGATGGGGGGGTGGATGACAAGATGGGAGGGGGGATGCAGAGTGGGGAATATATTATTTTACTTGACTCAAATACAGTGACAGGGTGACAGGGGCGGGAGACGCATGGATGGTGGTACGGCGGCTCTCTCGTGATCAGACTCCGAGTGTTTAAAAGCCTAAAAGGTCAGGCCGATCACAGGCCCTGATCACCTCATTATGAAAATGAGCCTGTTCCACCTGCCTGACACTGAGCGGAAATGGCAGCTCCTCAGTCTACAGTTATATATGCGTTTGACTCAAAATGTGGGACGTGAAGGAGAGGGGACAATCAAACACACTAATGAATGATGTTTAGAATGTAGATACACATTTGTACGATTACGTGGTGGTCTAATACAATAATAAAAAAGTGCTAAGAAAACTAAAGCACATCACTTTGAAATGCATTTGGTCACCCCTCTAATCCCACTTCAGTCTTAGGTTTTTAAATGAAAATTTTACTATACAATTATTTTTTTTACATTTATAGTAATGTTGGATCGTGGCGCCAAAATTAGCAGTAAGTTAATATTTCTGGAATTCACTTAAAACTTCAATAAAGACTATATTTAAAGTAGTGTGTGGCTTTTACAACTACCCAACATCTTATCTAAGTGTTTCAAACCAAGGTAAAATTACGATAGCTGCCACAGAGATTAAGTATTATTATTAAATATTAAAGCTTTCGACTAAGAAGTAGATTCTTTAATTAGCAGCAATTAGGGATGTAACGAAATCCAAATCTCTTGGTACAATATTATCACGATATGCATCTCACAGTGCAATATTTATCGCAATATTTTGGAGAGACAAATATAATTGTAAATAGGACATTTTTTTTGCTTTTAAAATACCTTGACAAGATTTTGATGTGAATTATTTCCGTCATAATCCCAAGAATTAAAGTAAAAATATAAATAACATATCTCTTCTTGTTGTTTGCACTGAAATGAATCATGGGATATGTAGTTCCAATATGTTTATCAGCTGTTGCTACCGTAAAACCATGAACTTGTAATTCGATATATTGTGACAGGCCATGATTTTATAGACTTTTGACGATATGATATTTTGTTTATTGTTACATCCCTAGAAGCAATGTTTTTTTGTTTTTTTTTAACACAAACTTTTTCTGCAACTCCTAATTACCTCTCCTTAGCTCTTAGACTTACCAGACCTCCCCAAAATCCCAGAGGAAATCAATTAATCAAGAAATTAACTAATTATAAGCAAAAGACATCATCATTCTAAGTGTGCTCCTTACATGTTCCACTTGTTGTACTGGTGTTGATGGCTTCATTCCACTGGTCAGCGCTGGACACGGAGAAGGAGCGCTGGTGCATCCCGTCCTTCCCAAACACCACCCCGCCCGTCAGGGATGAGCTGCTGTTGGAATGAGGCGCTCCTAAAAACAGAAAAACAAAACAAAAACAAAACAAATCATTTTAAACTATGTCTACGTTAAACCGGCAATGATGTAATTTTCTTCTTGCTTCCACCTTATTTGCGAGCATCTCCGAGTCAGCCCACACATACACACCCCTCTCGTCTCCTCCGCCAAAGCCTCTAATTAGCCCTTAATTAACAAGATACACTGTGAACGCTAATTATCTCGCCTCATCCCTCTGACTGCCACATCCATCTCCACTGGCGTCAGCAGACTTCCAATCAGGCCTGGATCCCTTTACTAATTCATGGGCTAGGGCTCGCTGCGTGGGGTCCCTCCCTCCTGTTTGCAAGCAGTTACTACGGCGACACTTCCTCAAACTCATCCATTTACCCAAAGCTACGATCGAGCCCGGTGCTGGAAGGGTGTCGAAGGGAATGCAGGGTTCATAGATCTTTCCCAAGGTCAACTTTAAGTGTTCTCGTGGACCATGTACCAGCTCTATGTACTTTTCTAACCATCCAATACTGTATCTTTATAATATTCATAGCCAGCCTCACAATAAAAAACATTATTGCTTTTATATGGGGTTTTATGGGATATTATTAAAAAAATATGTGAGTATTTGTGTCAACTGTCCTGTTCATTAACAAACAAAATTATAGTGTAAACTTTAAAAACAAAACATAAAAAACCCCCCCCAAAAAACAACAACTTTGATTTGAAGTTCATATGCTGGTGTTTTTGTAGTTCATATGCCAGCGTCTTTGATATAAAATATTTTCCATGTATTAAATGTGTAAAATTTCCTAATCCCTAGTCTCAAAGTCTCAAACATCCAATCCTACACCTTTAGACAATTATTCATAGGCAGCCACACAACATTATTGCTTTTATATAGGGTTATGAGATATTATAACAAAAATAAATCAGTCTATAAAATATTCTCAAAGGTGGGTATTTGTGTCAACTGTCCTGTTTATTATTAACAAACAAAATTATAGAATTAATTTTTTTTAAACTTTGATTAGACGTTCATATGACAGTGTCTTTGTAGTTCATGTGCCAGTGTCTTGTTGTTAAATATTTTCCAAGTCTTTAAAAGTGTTAAATGTCCTAATCCCTGCTCTTATCAAAAGTCTTTTTATGCCATAATTGGACAAGAAGAGCAGTTTGTGACTGAGGTGACACTAACAGAAATATAGAGTGTGGGTCGTGTGTAAAGTAAACTAAGCGGCACGGGTGCTTGTTAGGATAATATGTCCTACTCATTATCTAGAGTAATAAGTGTATCAAATTCACATAATCATGTCTAATTAGTATCAGTAATTATCTTGTTGGGCCCAGGAATATTAATCTTCGGCTCCCAGAGGGGAGGGAGCACAATCGCAGCAAGAACGGGAGTGAGAGCGAGGGAATCACGCTGAGGAGCTCTGACTAAATTAGCATGCTGAAATCAGAGCAGCGGAGGAGGGGAGGAGGGAGGAGGGAGGAGGAGGAGGAGGAGGGGGGAGGGCCGGGAGGAAACAGGAAACTTTGTTTTTCTATAAGTGATGAATGGAATGAGTAGAAAAGCTTAGAAAGAATATATTAATAACTATTCATAAACATAAGGAAAACAGACTGATGTTATAAATATGTATAAGTACTTAGAAATAGAACTAAGTAGAATGTTTAGGTGTAACAAAAGTTTTACAAATCTAAAGAAATTATACATTAAACAAGTCAGATATATTAAAGGGCCCGTATTATGCAAATGTTTTTTCCACATCAAGAACATACCTGGAGTTGTGCTTTGTTTCACTCACACATGTTTAACTCACAAACTCTGCTTATTTATGCTGAGCTCTTTAGTCACCGGGTGATGTCATGTGGTAATTCCACTGTGTTTTTAGACTCCATACACTTAAGATTTCATTCATTCATTTGGCTAATTTCAGCCCTGGAATTACCAATCTCTTTTAAACAAAAGGTAAAATGTAATTGGTAACTTTTTAAAACTACTGCTTCATGACATCACAAAGTGGAACAGAGCAGCATTTTGAACTTTGGAGATGTGGACAGATTCATAATAAAGAATTATTCAAACATGTGTGAATACAACGAAACACACAATAAAAATTTTGGGTGTGTTTTTGGTTATTGTCCAGAGTGCCCACTGTACAAATGGGTAGCTGGAGTAGGAACTGAACCCATAACATAAAAAAGAGTGCAAAATATACACATATATTTGATTCCTAAGTGACTAAAATATCTAAAATGTCAAATCACACATGTTATTTTATTGTCCAAAATGTATCTTCAAATCTCTCACATTTTCCTTGGATCTGTGTGAAAACTCTATCCTATATATCATTAGTGATCATTTACTTAGTGTTCTCGTCAGTTGTAAATACCTCATCCTGCCCTCTGCGGAACAACACTCTAGTACTGCACACAGGTTTTGCCCTTGTAGAAAAGTATCAGCAGTAGGAGTTGCACCTTAGGGGAGCTAATATCATGGCGCTAAACGTGGCCTGGCTGGAACCATAATGGCGTGCTCTTTTTAATGCCACAAGCTGATTATTGCTTCAGTGTAATTACATTATCCTCCCCTTTATGCACAAGTGGTCTCTGGGGACTAATGGATACAGCCATGTATAATTCATTCATCATTAGCATGCAATTTGACAATTAGAGGTGATTGTTGAATTTTAAGTATCAATAGAAGTTACCTAGTAGTTATCTAACTACTTTTTGGTGCCATTTATTAAGAAAGATACACGCCAAAGTTGATTGTTGGCAATTAAAACAATTTTGGAATTAACACGAACTATAAAATATATATGTAATATAATGTGGTCAGTTACACACATGTCCACCATATCAGCAGTCTAGAATGTACAGTATTATTCTTCTGCTATTCTAATGTTCAGGTTACAAAGCTCATTCAAACAGCTGTGGGTCTGAGTCAGGGCAGATCTTATACAGTGAGGGGAGCAGTATCCAGGTGTACACCAAGAGACGCACACAACCATTCACTGAAATCATGTTGTTAAGACTATATTGCATAGATTAAAGCTTTACCACGGGGCATCTGACTTTCTTTGGGAGAATCATTTGTTTTTTTTAGCAGGTTTTACGCCTTTACGACCTTGAGGCAGCCATTGCTTGGCTCTGGATGAATCAAATTATGACCTCCAGCACAAATAGCAAGGGAGCTAACCATGCTAGCTACCTTCGCTGTGAGTCAGTTTATATTTCACATTTTCTAATATAATTTTCTGTAAATTGACATTTAAGTGTACTTTCCGACCATCATGCTGCACATTAGCATTGGAAAGGCAGTCCAAAAGACATTGGGTGTTAAGTAGAGGCGATGGATTAGCGGGGAGCAGCGTGCTTGCTCCTCATTTCTCTTTAGGCCGGGCCGTCAGTGGTCTGATGAGGCGTGACGAGGCCTGACCCCTCCGTGGAGTTGTTGCCATTATGTACAAGTAGTGAGATAATGAAGCATTCATGCTAATGTGGGGCCGGCGCCACATCATCACCAGCACCATCATCATCTGTGGCTGTGTAATCCACCAGCCCCCCAACCCCCTCAGACCCCCCCACCTCTGCTATCCGCCATTTGTGTTTACGCCTGTGCGCTTTTCATTACATCCTCTGTGAGCGTCACAATCATTTACTCTCATCTATTTCACTTGGTCATTTTGGATTTGAACAATTTGTCTTTGAAATTAGTTTTAATTTTGTTCTCTGGAAACTTGATGACAGCCGTACACTGTAAGAGCAGGTTACACATATGATGGGAGACATTCAGGCTTTATGTTTTACATTCGCTTTTAACATGGACGGGGATGAGCTGCATTAATCCTAATTGTTAATACTACTGACAATGTTGTTTTCCAAAAGCAGCTTTGGACTTTGTACGTGAATTGTAAAATCAAACTATGTTATGTGCAAACTTTGTTTTACACTGAGAGGCCAAGTTTTGCCAATTAGCATTATTCTATTGTAGTACATTATTCTATTGTAGTACACTTGTGATCAGTGGTTGGTTTCGTCTCCCTTTGTCCCAGTGTGAGCACAAAGTCAGTGCAGAACCAGTTCACTGCTGCGTCTCTTCACATCAGAGCTGTGGAAGGATTAAGGATGAGGCAGAGCCCTCCACGTCTCCTCTCGCTGCAGGATTGATTAAAAGTGACTGGGCCCATTAATACTGTGATACAATGTATCTGTCGCGTGTGACACGGCGGGATGCGCGTTAACAGGGACCATCATATTTAAAACGGTTCCGCTCAGCACCCAGCCGAAGAATTAAAGAGGCGCATGCTCACTCACTGCTGTCTCCAGCTCCGTCTCTCCTGCCCTCCCCTCCTGCTCGGCCCCACTATCCCTCTTTCCCAGTGATTATAAAGGTCTTCACATCCAAGGGATGAATGAATTACTAAAGGCAAAGACAAGGCTTGTGATTTGGACGACATGAATGAAAAATTACCCCTTTGTTCCCTTCATCAATTGCATGTCTAATGAAATCAAAATCCCGATCGCATAATCAGAAGAGGGTCCTCCACCCGAGAGGGACCTGATGTGATTTGTAACCTTTCTTTTTCTAAGTGGGGATTAAGGCGAATCTCCCGCACATTGTTCCCTGATGCACACACGGATGGTAACATGGAGCAGAGAGGAGCAGAGAGGAGCAGCTGGTGTTTGGCTCAAAAATGCTTGTGTGTGTGTTTTCAAAGCGTTTTGGTCTGATGACCTGGTGCCTCTCCTACACCCAGCTCAAGGTGAGCTCATTTCGGGAGGGGACACCTCTATGCTGTGTCCCGTGTTAGTAAACTCTTACATCTTTCTGCCTGTGACTGATTAACCTGTTCACAAAGGCAGCACATTGGCTGGTCTCTTCCATAACCTGTCCGGATGGTGACTATGGTCCCCACTGACCTGTGCCTGGCACTGGACCCACTCACAGCCAGTTAGTTTTTAGCCTGGGACATGGAAACTCTTTTACTGTGGCTCCCTCGGGGATCACTTTGCTAATTAGTATTAATTACTCTTAATCTTAACCCCTACATCCAATCAGTGCATCCCCTGTGTTCGGGTGCCAGACTCTCCCAGCCTGCAGCTATCTGACACAAGCTATTTTTAACTGAGCACTGGAAAAAGGCACCGCAGAAATAATTAGGTCAGAGTCATAGACAGGCAGGGTAAACAAATACAATTACCCACTGTATTAGTGCTGGTACATGGATATATTTTATATCTAATTTCAAGTTGGTTTGCAAAAAACATCTACCTAGAAGAAGTCACAAAATTACAAATAACAAACACTGCTCAAGTCTCAACTATTGTGCTGAAAGTTGGCAGTTAACAGAAACTAATCCAAGACTAATCCAAATCTTATGTAGGACCTTTTAAAGAAATTTATAACATATAACATAACCCATAATAATCTGCCTTTTTGTCAATATTCCTATCAAAAACAGTACATTTATATAAAATAGGGAACTTTGTGTTGTTGCGATATCTGTTATTGTGTCCACCAGCCAACACTACAATATCAGTATTTTATGATCTACACTGGTGCATTTGAAACATTTATTGATACTCTGCAGTGACATCATGCTGGGGGTATTCTATATGTATATGCATGGTGAAATGTTCAACAGTTACTATGGTGACACAATGCACACATTAGCAGGAGTGAAAAAGTTTTAAGATGGTCTGACAAATTACAAAATGGTTATAAAGAACACATTTTCAGGAGCCTGTGATAAATGTATACCTTCATGGTCCTCTTAAGGTGTTTGATTTTCAGCAGAAAGGTGAAAGTGACTAACTAATGCCAGCCACCTTGAGACTGTAATTTTATTTGATGAAGACTTGACAACATCAGCTGCAAAGTATCATATAACATAACTCTTTCTGGCAGTCAGCAGGGTATTATGACTTGGACCATAATTACCCAGATAATTTGGTCAGTGAAACAGACAGAAGCAGAGACAAAAAACGCAAGTGAAATGTAAATGCATAATTCCCCATTCAGAAATTCCGGAAGCTTTAATAGATTTCTCATAGCTGCTCATTAGCGCGTCATTGTGTATACAGCGCGGAGGCTAATCAGCTTTGATGCAACGTATGGAATAATTAAACTGTTGGGAGCCATTTTTATGATTAATTGCAAACTGAGGACTTAGGAAATGAATACAGTAATAAAGCGCTCATTGTGTTGCCATTATGCGCAATACCTGAGACAATAATTATTGTAGTGTGTGTGTGACATGTGACATCTATTTTACATGCAACGCCTTATGAGGGATGAAACTAAATGTCTTTTTGTTTTTTATTTATATATATATATTTTTTTTTACATTACCAATATGACTTTGAGCATCTGGAAAAGCTCTATACTATAAGACTCACGCATTATTATTATTGTATGTAAAAACATCTTAAACATTTCAGTCTGTAGTGGAAAATAAAAGTATGTATGAAAGGCATACTATTACTTTTCAGGTGTCTCCAAGGATTTGTTATTGCTTTGTCTGAAATTTTACACAGTATAGAATTAAAGTATCTCCATGAAGACAAGCAAGTGACACCACCAGAACAAGGAATAATACACCTACATGTGGCTAAAATGCATTATGATATTATGTTTAAAGCCATCTGATGCCAAACTTTACAAGCTGGCAGATCCTAAACCAGAAAAGTTACGTAGCGCACCATTAAAATGCACAAAAGTACTTTTTTCACCTTTTGAACACAACACTAGTTAGACATTTTGAATGAGTAAAGTTTGAGTGTCTAGTTTAAAACAATGTGCCTTGCCCAAAGACACAATTAAGGAGTACATTTCTGCTGATGGGGATAAAACCACCAACTTTAAGATTAGCTGAAGTACCGTATTTTTCGGACTACAAGGCGCACCAGATTATAAGGCGCAATATCAGTAGTGTTGAATTCTCTCATCTATTTTCATACATTAGGCACACCGGATTATAAGCATTAAGCAAAACAAACAGATGACACCTGAGACTGAGCCCTTAGCGCAGGCATCCACGATCCATTGGCAGATAGAGGTGTAATGTTAATGTGGGTGGATAATTTAAGTTCCTTTTTTTATTTCCTATGAGGACTCAAATATACACTAAGAATCAATGTGTTTAATGCAGCTTTGCACACATTTGTATACGATTTACAGAAACAAAACTTAAATTTGCATAAACTATAAGTGCTGAAAAAACAGCTTGCTCCTTATGTGCTGATGTGGTCAGCTTCTGTCAGACTAAGTCCGCGAGGTTCCTGACTATGGTAGCCATAATTCTAAAACAATCCATCAAGTGGTGTGGCTTCGTAGTCGCACTAAAACATTACTAAAACATTCTGACAGATTTCTGAGCGACAACCAGAATTAATGCATAAAGCGCACCTGATTATAAGGCGCACTGTCAGTTTTTCAGAAAATTAAAGGTTTTTAAGTGCGCCTTATAGTCCAAAAAATACAGTAGTTAGGAGATTAGTCTTATGGGGCTCACTAGGCTCTCTCTCTCAACTGCATTGTTATCGGTGCATTATGTAACTTCTGGTGGATTGGTCCTTCACCTGCTTGTGTTCATGAACAATTATTACTTTGCCCAGTATAGCATGAAATTAGTCTCCATGACTACAAGCTGGTGATGCAACCAGGCCAACTTTCTGGAGGTTGCACAGTCAAACAAAAGTCAGGTTTTTGGAGATGCAAGCCTGCTCACAATAAGGATACATGTTTTTATACATTTTTCAGTGCACTAAACACAACAAAAATGAAAATATGTGATTCTAGTTTAGTCTATTTTCTGGCTATAAAGTTACATACTGTAGTTTTAAATGAGGTGATGCATATTGAAGCTCTAGGGTGTACCTGTATTTCCTATGCCAAGCTGAAGGCCACTGCGGTCCTTGGTGAGCCCGTTGGTCTTGGGGCTGGCGGTGGGGGCGGTGGGGGCAACTGTGGCGACTGCTCGAGGTGGTCGCTTCCCTGGAACCTTCACTGTCGTCCTCAACAAGTCGATCTCTTTCCCATGTACGTTCTGCATATAGTCCTGTACAGATACAAAGCAATGGAAACAAAACATGAGGAGGGGAGGTTCAGTCACTAAATCTAAGGTGAAGCAAATGTGAAATTACCCTTTTATCAAAAGTTTAGAAAATCAGATACTAACTAGCGGTCTTCCTCAGAGTCACGTGATGTTGCTGTGACGTGTCCAGTCATCTGATTTATACAGGTTTTGGTGCCGTCTTCCTACCAAAGGAGGCAGGATGACAGCACTATCTGCAGTCCGACTTCCTCAGGACAGTATTCCAAGTGTGTGAGAGTAAAAAAGCCCCCTCGTCCCAATTTATAGGACAGTGGCAGGAAGACAATGCCAAAACCTGTATAAATCAGCTTATTGAACACGTCACAGCAACATCATGTGACCACTCTGAGGAAGACAGCTAGTGAGCAGTCGAAATTGTCAGGTATAAAAACAAACTTTTGATCTGAAGGTGTATGATGTTTAGATGCTGGGACAATGTTTTCTGTCAGAGAACTCAATCCTGAATATGCAGGGTTTGTGTCTTAAACATGTGTGAATGAAACAAAACACAATTCCAATAACAGTATTTTCCGCAAACTGCACACCCCACAATCCAGATTGCCCTATACATGAATCCACTCGAGTGTCCCAGCACGACTTCAGTAAACTACAAAGCTGCACCACCCTCAGCGCACGCAAACATGCACGGAGCAGACAGCGACCGCACAGCGAAAAACACCCGTAGCCACACTCCTCACTCCACACGGACGAGGAATGGAACGGAGGAACGAATGGAAAAAGCGAGTGCAATGTGCCACTTCTAGCCACAACGGAACAATTGAGTCACTGCGAACACGTCAACAATCCAGCGGTCCCAGACAGCACTCTCCCTACACACCACAATTGAACAAAGCCGAGAGTCACCGTGAACGCTCCAAACAAAGTCCGACTGAGCCATCTAACTGTTGTGTTTCGTTTAAAGTCCGTGGTTTATTTGTGAAAAAAGTTCATAAATAGACCATTCAATGACAGTGCGCCTTATAATCCAGAGCGCCCTATACTGCGGAAACTATGGTCATTGGACAAAGGCAAAGGAGATACATATAAACATGAGGTGATGAGGAAACAAGATTAAAACAGATCAGAAAATAGTGGAATATGGGCCCTTTAAGGAAGTTTTGTTGTCAGTTGAAAGGACTGTAAGCCATAAGGTTAATATGGCAAAGTTTTGGACCTGCTCCCAAACAAATAATGATGAGGTTCAACATTTGGGCATTTTCAGTTTTGGTTATTAAAAAGTGAATATCCCACAGAGTTCCCTTAGAGTTCCACAGACCCCTGCCCTCCATCTCAAACTATGACATCAATTTCTAAAACACCTCGTCTTGAACACAGCCTATTAACTCTTCCACGCCGATCATCATCACCTGTACCCACACAGTCGCTCCAAATAGCGCCATGTTGGGCTTAATGAACGCAAACAGTCTAATCCTCCTTCAATTTGGCGATTTGATTTGGTTTAAAGCAACTAGCCAAGGTGAAAATCATGGGGCTCAGCAGAAAAAAAAACAGAAAAAACACCTAAACAGAAGCGTGCTCGGCCTGCGCTGTCCCCCCACTGGCTCCTCCGCTTTATTACCGTGTCATAAAGTACTCATTTCTCTCCCAAGCTAATTACCCAGTGAGCGCTCTCATTTCATTTTATTGCTGGAATTAACAGCCAGATCGAAGCGTGCAAAGCTATTAAGATGTGTGATTAAGCCACATTCAATTAGTTTCTACAAACAATTTAATTGATGTAGCAGATAGAATTAACAGAAGGTGATTGTGTGGATGGCTTGGCTGGTTGCGAAATTAAAGGTTCCACTCTCAGCCCGCCTGCCTGCCCCCCCTTCCTCTCTCCTCCTTTCTCTCTTTTCCCTCCTTTCGATCTCTCTCTCTCTTTCTTGCGTTCTTTTTTTCCCTTTTCCTTCTTCTTCTTCTTCACCCAAATGAGCTGAAGCTGTTAGCGCGTTAATGTAACTGTCTCCCTGATTTCACCTCCTCTCAGTAAGTCAACAGATTCATAGATGGCGAGATTGGCCCGATGACCTGTGATAGCGGTAATGATCAAGAGATAGACAATTACATACATCAGTGTAGTGCAGGGCTGCTACGCTAATAACTGCGTGTAAATTAAACAGCTAACAGCGCCAGTGCAGCAAGGCCCACGTCCGCAGCTTTGCCTTCAAACTTTGAGCCGTCTAATTATGTGAGGGGGGAATATTTGAAGTCTATTAAGTTCATAAAAACACTTACACCTGCTGTACAAGTGAGGAATTAGACTTAGTGGTTGAATGAACACCAAATGAGTTCTGTCTTTGTCAAGGATTTACAATGGGTGAATAAATAAAATGGTGTGTGAATGTCTTTTCTATTAGTTATAAATACAACAATACAAGTCAGGGCTCCCACTCTTTTCACTGACAACATTTCAAAACTTTTCCATGACTTTTCGGCACCCTAAATGTGTAGGATTGATCAGACTTTTAGGGCTAAATCTGAAATGTTAACCCTTTCCACTCATCTTATGGTTTGGTATTATAGTTTTTAACATTCAAAATACTGTCAGTGCATTTATTGTCATCTCTTTTAAACAAAATGTAATTATTTTATTTATTTATAAGAAGCCCCTTCATTTGCGAGGGGGTCCTAATACATGAACAAAAGCAACATTTACAGAAAAGAAAGAAAAAACAGATCAAAACAGAACAAAAGACAAACAGACAAAGACAACATTCACGCAACACAGACAGCATTCATACTATCAATCCAGGATACTAAGATATGCTACATCTCTCTGATTTGATCATCACCACACATATATTTGTAAATTAGTGGGGAAAAAGCAACTCTATGTACAACAGAAAGTACATAGAACAAAAATGTATTTTTATCGAAAACAGGAGAAGGATGTCTGTAAGTATCTGGAGACTGATGCCAAATGTAAAATATGTTTGGAAATAATTATAATAGCCTAATGAGAGCTTGACAGAATGCTGTTGTTGTGTGAAAGAGATACAAAAATTCCATGACTTTTCCAAAACTTTCATTGAATTTACAAAATCCTATGACTTTTCCAGGCATGAAAAATGACATTTTCAATTTCTATGACTTTTCCACGATTTCCATGACTGTGGGAACCCTGACAAGTTGAATGAATGAATGAATGAATACAGAATCACTAGTAACCATTTTCTGCATATTTGAATATTCATTTTAAAGGTGCACTATGTAACTTTTTGGCTGGGGGGGGTCCATCACCTGCTTGTTTCTACAGATATGTCATTGCTTGGTCTGAAATGTTCCAGTATGACATTAAACAGCTCTACTTTACTTTTATTAAATTACAGATGGGTTTATCGCTCAAAAATACATAGAAAAACACTCATTCTGACTGTGAGCGGGGTTGCCTCTCCATAGATCTGACCTATAACTTGGTCTGATTTGGTCTCCATGAAGACAGAAAGGTTTAATATCATACTAACATTCCAGACAAAGCATTAACATCTCCATGAAGAAAAGCGTTTGACGGACCTTCCACCAGAAAAGTTACACAATGCACTCTTAAAAATTAATCTTTTTTTTCATTTTATTTTTGTTACTTTTTTTAAAATAAATGATTTGATGTTTTTTGTAATAGATAGATGGGATGGTGATAATTGGTCTGACATAGTGGTTTTCTAGACACTCACAGTTGCTTCTAATATTTTTGCAATGCATTTTTGATTCATTGTATGTCTGTGACAATGCAAAGAAACAAGCAGAGAATAAAAATCACTCGCGCTTTAACCTTAGATGTCGACAGAAACAGTAAACACAAAAAATGAAAAATACAATGGAGGTTGTAAACTAATGCCGTAAGCCATTGCTGCCCTGGTGAGAATGCCATTGGCCCCCTCACACACCACATTCATGCAACAATAATATTATAACAATATCCAAAAAGTCACTGTGATTTATCATTAAAAGTAGTAAGAGTTGTATGTATGGTAGTTTTGTCTGTTTGTCACTGGAGCAATTTCACAAGACCTTAAATTAGTCATGTCATAATATTTATATAGCGCTATCATTCAGTGTATATGTTAGAAGGAACAATTATTTATTGTGGGTACATTTTCTTTATAGATTTTGTATTTTTTCTGTTCTACGGTTAGATTTGAGCAGTAGAGAGTTGATTAGTAGTTCATTTCAGAAGTTATTTAAAGTTTTTCACTACGCTATTTATTGCAGTTTGTGTTTTTTCAGCAGATTGTACATTTAAAATATTTTTGGAGGGATAATTTCTTCAGGACTATTGTGTCAGTGGCATAAATATTTCACAAATATTATATTTTCCACAACAATATAATGTACTTCAATATTTGGTATGGTGACAAGCCTACTTCAAATATTACAATATCAAATTCATGACCTACATTGTAACATCCCTTATTGAAATCCACTTTAAATGTAGTGTGCATAAGGCAGGTGTATTTAAGCGTTGAGAGTGAGACTGATGGAGGGAGCAGACAGGCGCGCTGGGGCACCGGGCTCTGGAGCTGTCTGCTGCCAACCGACTGTTTAAGAGGTATTAGCGGCCCAGCGGGACCGTGACAGAGATGGATGTGGGAGGGTGCTGGGCCTCGGCTGGTGAGCACGGAGCACCATTAAATACAGGCCGGCGCGGAGCCTGGTGCGGCGGGCACGGGGGAGCCATGTCTCCATTAGCCCGCACCGGGGAACACAGATGACCACCGGGGGACTGCCTTTCTTAACACTGCGCTTGGACTGACGGCTAATACAGAGATGTAATGTAGCGGAGGGGACTGAGCGTGTGACAACGGCGAGTTAGGTCGCTGTGGAGGAAGACACTTGGAAGGTTTTCTATGACAAGTTTACAGTGGGATCATTGTAGAGAGTTTGGAGACGGCAAAACTGCAGACTAAGGCTCTTGTTTGATCATTTATTGGTAACTACAAACAGAATGACTATGCACTATGTCACTTTTCTGGAGGGTTGCCACAGCTTATCCAAATGGAAATGTTATTCTTGGCTTGGAACGTTCCACAGTTTGGCATAATAGATAGATAGATCTTGTATTAATTCAAGTACAGACAGACAGATATATACTACCGGTCAAAAGTTTTGAACACCACACTTATTCCATTTTTTTTTTTTTTTTTACTGTTTACTGTTGACCAAAACGTATTCTAAACTTTTGATTCATGAAAGTGTCCACCTTTGGCAGATAGAACAGCTGCACACACTCTTGGCTTGTTCTTTTTACAACAGAAATCAAATATTTTTCAGAAAGTTCTTCCCAAGTCTGTTGCAGAAGTTCCCATAAATGTGTGGCACTTGTAGGTTTCTTGGCTTTCACTTTTCTGTACAGTTCATCCCAAACCAGCTCGAGGGTTTAAGTCTGGAGACTGTGCTGGACACTCCATGTTTTCAAGCTTTACCATCTTGTTCTTTTTTCCTGAGGTAGTTTTGGCAGAGCTTTGACTTGTGTTTTGTATCTTTTATCTTTTTTTTTTTTTTTATCTCTGGCTGTTCAGTTCTTACCTTTGTACCATTTCAAGCTGTTCATTGGACTTGCACAACTTGAACTGCAATAAATAACTGGAAAAAGTAGGGTGTTCTAAAACTTTTGATCAGTAGTGCAGATGTATTAGCCAGGCTGGTGCCACCTAGTACCCCCGCTCAATTTCATTTCTCTTCAGCGACTATGTTAGGAATCGGAATACACAAGACTTTTTGCAGTAACCCCGGAAGTGCGAGTCTGGGCAGCAGCCAATTAGCGAAGAGCCATATATTCTGTGTTGGCAACGATTCCCGAGATCAATGATTTAAAGCCGGAACAAAAAGAATGTTTGGTGAATTTTATCAAGGGGAAAGATGTTATTGCCCTTCTTCCTACGGGATTTGGGAAAAGCTTAATATACCAGTTAGCCCCGTTAGCGGTGCATTACATACTTCACGACCAAATAGCAGCGATTGGTTAAATAAAAAAAGCACCCGCCTACTGTCGAGCGAATAAATTCTAATGCTGCAAGGTCAAACAGTTTCCATGAAATGAAACCGGCTAATAGATATTGTGAACCATTCCAGGCAAAGCAATTGAAGTCACATTGAATTTCCAAAGGACAGAGGTGTAAGAATAAGTGGGTGCACTAACTGCTAACAACAAGAAATCACACTTTCTTTTATGTACAGACATATTCCACATCATAACTATTATAACACTACTATTACATCTCAGTGGAAATAGATATGTTTTTATGCCACACTGTGGAATATTACAGCCAAAGAAACAGCATTTCCATGGAAACAAGCAGAAGATAGCCCTCCTCCAGGCAAAACAGTCAGGTCAGTCAGGTTTGTGGAGATGTAAACCTGCTCACAGTAAGGCCACTGTTGTCCGTGTTCTTCAAAAAAATTAAGCTTTTATGCAAGCCTATTTTTTGGCAAAAGTTACATATTATGGCTGTTCAAATGTTCAGACAACAACCAATTTCTTTTCTTCACACTCTAGGCAATGTTGTTGTTTTGTTCCTCTAATAGCGTGTATGTTTTTATTGCAAGTTGTCTGTAATATGTAGACCTACCATACTGCCTATATATGCTTTCAATAGCCATTTGTACTGGACAGAATGAAAAAATATAACGAAAGAGAAATAATATAAATAAAACAAAATTAAATAAACAGCCTAACTCTGTGAAAACACCTCAATCTGTCAGCAGCAGCCCCAGTAAACACCTGCTGTTCCAACATAAACTTGATGGTAGCAGAGATGTGAGTGAGGATATAGGCGTAGGACACTTACATGTAAACTGGGGTGGTAAGTGAGGACTCCATTATCACACAGTGTGACATATTTCTTCTTCCATTCCTTGTTGAGGGATTTGCCACTTCGCTTCAGAAGGATTCCCTGTAAAACACAAGACGTCCCAGTGAGCTGTAAGGCCTTCTCGGAGCAGCATGGAGGAGCGGCAGCCATTATGGATGTTAAATACCATATCACAGCACTATCCCCATCATCTCTGCACATTTAAGACACTGTTTTCAAGGGTAGAGTCATAAAAGCAAACAAACATGTGCATTTGCAATTATGACGCTGTGTGATCGTCAAGGATAGTCAAAGTACAAATTGTTCATAATTAATCTCTTATCGTTTCTAAAGGACGCCTATTTTCTGATCTGCTATAATCTTGTTTGCTCATCAAAAACAGACCTGGAGTGGTGTTTTGTTTTATTCACACATGTTTAACACACAAATCCTGCATATTTAGGCTGAGTTCTTCTCTCAAACACAAACTCCATTCCACCTTGTGATGTCATCTGGGAATATAAGAAGTGCTCTAGGGCTCGGCATCATTCAGAAGATACAGTGAGCTTATGATTCAATACAATTCAATAAAAAATAAAGGCTAAATCATGGCTCAGTCTTTGTTAAACCACTTTTTATGCAAAGTTAATATGAAACAAAATTTTTTAATCCTCACACTGCAAAAAAACCCCAACAAAATTTAGCCTAGTTAAGATGATTTGAATTAAAGTTTTATCATGATTTGAGTAAATTGCTTGACAAGTAAAATTATCGGCCAGTAGAACAAGACTTTTTGTACTTAAAATATGAAAATGCATCTTGCTAAAATAACAAACAAAATCAGATTTTGCTTGAATTTAGATAAATACTCTTATTCCATTGGTAGATAGTTTTACTTGTCAAGGTGAATCGACTCATATAAAATAAAATGTTCTTCATTTAAGTCATTTTAATTTTGCTAGATATTGTTTTTTTTCCCCTGCAAAACACTGAAAATGTCAAATGTGTTGCATGAACAAGTTTCCCTCCTCTAAAAAACAACAACAATAGCGCTGTAACAAAATAATTTAGTAAAATATACTAAAAAATACTCTTGGTGATATAGCGATACATCACCCCATGATATCGATACTGTATCATGGCATTAAACTGTACAATATATCGATATTTCTATATTTTTGCACACCTCTATTCATTATGTTTTAATTCCACACACCTTCACTAGAATCATTTGGATAATTTCAGTCCTGGATTTGCCAATCTTTATCAAACAAACGGTAAAATGTGTCTGTTAACTTGAAACTACCTCATCACAAGGTGGAACAGAGTATTTTGAGCTTTAGAGACGTAGATGGATTAATAATAAAGAGCCACTCAAACATGAAACAAAACACAACTCCAGGTATGTTTTTTGAGGAGCCAAAATGGGAAAGAGGTTTAAAAATTCAAAACTCAACCTACTCGAAGATTGCAAATTTGACCTTTTGTTATGCATGGCTGCTAATGAGGTAGGTGGGGTCACGCTTTTAGAACTTAAAAGGCTCTTAAAACCACAAAACTATGAGTGAAACTTAAGCTATTTACATGTCTTACTCGCAAATGCTTTAGCTAAACAAAAACTGAAGTCAAAATTTTAAAAAAAAGTAAAAAATAAACCTATCAGAAATTGTTGTTAGGCTGCAATCATTTTACTTTCTTGAACAGTTTTAAAAAGTTGTATTCAGAAGTATTGAAGTTTGAGATATTGCCACAGGATATCAGAGGTACCTTCATACATGCAAGATGCCGTATTTGTAAAAGCAACATGTTAAATTGGCCTGTCTTTGATTGACAGCTGAATGACGGAGCTAAACGCAGCTACTGTTTGTGATCCTGGTCTAATGGCTGTTTTGGTCTGCTTTGGCATTCTTCACTTTACAAATTGAACTCTGGAAGACCTCTGCATCGAGGGATTAGTCAGTGTGATCTGCGCTCTTCAAAGCTAACTCCCCTCTTATTCTTTTCTACTTTATCTTCTAGGGCCTTTTCACATGTCCTCAGATGGGCTCCTTATCTGCTGGGTAAATCCACAATAAACAAAGCAGTTCCTCGGCTGGAGGCGACCAAACAGTGGCGAGGGAAAGGGCCAGCAGGCTCTGTGGGTTAAATAGTGAGGAGGGGCCCGCTTAATTAGGGATTAGGACAGGTCAATGTTTGTGCTTTTGCAGCCAGACCCCTGCGAGTGTGAGGGAGTGCTTGGCCCGTCCTGTAGGCTCTAATCCCCATTAACACATCAGGAAGGGCGACCTCGCGACCCAGGCACCAGGCTGTTTGCCGACAATCATCCTAATCCAATCTGATTCATCTGGAGAAACCTCTGCTCGGTGCGTTTACATGCAGGGTTTAGGCAGACTTTTCATCAGGCTGTCAAACTGGATTTCTCTTTTTTGCTGACCAAGAACTAACACTTCAATCAGGCCAGTCACTGTGCTACGTGAGGATCAGCAGAGTTAAAGTACAAAGGTTTGATGGTAAAAACAAAGTAAAAACTACAAATAACTACACTAATATGCTGTGAGCTAGTGTGTCCAAATCATTTCCCTTGTGGATCAATAAAGTTTGTCTAAGTCCAAGTCTACTACACTCAGTTTAAAAGTTTATGGACCCATCTGACCCAGCAGCATACAATAAGAAAATAAAACAAACTTAAAACCCTTCCTTTATCACACTGGCTTCATAGATATTGGTTGTTTTATCCCACACTGTAGCAGAATCAACAAGTCATTTAGTGCCACACAACTAAACTAAATACAAATAACAAACATTGGTTTAATTTACCAAGTTACAACTCTTTTTTGTAGCAAGAACTAACTAAGATCCAACACTTATGATACATGATCATAAACTGAGCTGGTTAAAGTAATAGTTGGGTTTGGCGGTAAAACAATGTTGTTAATTATGAAAATTTTATGAAGCTTTTCCAAATTTAAAAGCGAATTTGAAATAACACTCAGGCTGGTCACTATGATACTCGATCATCAACAGAGCTATGGTAAAATACTTGGGTTTGATGGTAAAACAATGGAATTAATTATGAAACAAAACTTTTACAATTTAAAGGGGTATATGATATCACAGTTTGAAATAACTACAGTATAATATATATGTATAAAATGCATGTGAATGTGAATATCTAAGACTCAGAAGCAGCATACAATAAGAAAATAAAACAAACTTAAGACCCTTTCTTTATTGGTGAGATAGATATCAGTTGTTTTATCCCACTCTGCAGCATAATTGATAAGTAATTTAGTGTCACACAACTAAACTAAATACAAGTAGCAGCATTTGTTTAAGTTATGATAAGAGCGAAGGCAGACTTTTCATCACGCTGTCAAACTTGATTTCTCTTTTTTGTAGCAAGAACCAACTAAAAACTACGATACATGATTTGTTTCTATAACACACATCACCCAAGCTATGGTTAAAGTAACAGTTGGGTTTGATGTGAAAACAGTAGCACAAATTATGAAAATATGAAACAAACTTTTACAAATTTAAAAGGGCTAATCACATGTGAATATCTGTTTAAGGACCCAATAAAAAGAAAATAAAAGAAACTTGAACTTAACTTTTCTGATAGAGGGTTCACTACCTGCTTGTCATTACAATAGAGTATTTTATTGCTTTGCCTGAATGTTCCACAGCATTCAACTGTTCTATCTCCATGGAGACAAGAATGCCACCAGGCGAAGTTATGGGTCAAATCTCTGAAGAGGCATGCCCATCCTTTATCAATGTATTTTGAGCGTTAAAAATACACTGAATAAATATTTGATAGAGTAATAGATTGATAGTTTAATGCCATAGTGTGCAACCTCAACCAGAAAAGTCGCACAGTGCACCTTTATTGGCTGTTTTATCTAACTTTAATAGCAAGGAATTTAGTTTGACACAACTAAACTAAGCAGAAGTAACACCATTTGTGTTTAATTTACTAAGTTATAATCAGATATGGAATAAAGTAAAAGGAAATTCTATAATTAAGAATTCATGATTTAAAATACCTTAAAAAGTGTACTATGTAACTTTTTCATTAGGGGTCTGTCAATGCTTGTTTCTATGGATATGTCCTCACTCTGCCTGGAATGTTCCACAGCATGGCATTAAACAGCTCCATTTTACATTTATTCAATTACAGGTGCTTTTATAGCTTATAAATACCAAGAAAAACAGGCATTCCGATACTAAAATTTCATGACTTTTCCAAAACTTTCATTCAATCTACAAAATCCCATGACTTTTCCAGGCATGAAAGAATGACATTTTCAATTTCCATGACTTTTCCAGGATCTCCATGACCACTGGAACCCTGACAAGTTCAACGAATGAATATGAAATCACTAGTAACTTTTTTCTGCATATTTTTATGTTAATTTTAAAGGTGCACTATGTAACGTTTTAGCTGGGGGTCCGTCACCTGCTTGTTTCTACGGATACGTCATCGCTCGGTTCCAGCTCTACTTTACATTTATTAAATTACAGATGGTTTTATTGCTCAAAAATACATAGAAAAATAGGTATTCCGACTGTGAGCGGGGCTGCCTCTCCTCAGATCTGACCCGTAACTTGAACTGGTTTGCTCTCCATGAAGATAGGAAGCTTTAATACCACACTGTGAAAACAATCCTGACAAAACACTAACATCTCCATGGAGAAAAGCTGTGACAGACCCTCCAAGAGAAATGTTACCCAGAGCACCTTTAAGCCCCAAATGAAAATGAAATTGCCTCCTATACACTTTATTTGACAGATATATCGCAGGCAGAATGAGCCTCTTCAGATCAATACATTGTGACTCCCTCATTTTCGTCAATAGAGGGAGTGTAAAGACTTCTAAACTGCTCTGTAATCATACAGAGTAAATGATGCAGATGGAGGGCCCCTGGCAACTCCACTGTGTTTTACAAGTAAATATGTCTCATCTGCTGCTACTGGAGCATACAGTAATCTATACATGCAATCACTGCACACTTACATATATTAATCAGCACTCAAGCAGATCGATGAGACACACAAAACTAGGAAAATCTTTAAACTCATTTTTCAGCTGCAGTATTTTAACACCATTATGCGGAGGATCAATAGGAAATACACTACAAATGTCACTGTAGCGTTTTAAAAAGGAGGATCACGCAATTTACAGATGTTATCCCACTACACAAACACATGATTAGATAGAGACGCTTTGGTTCTGTTTAGCTGTGCATATGACTGAACAGTTTTTATTCAGCACTCTTCTGATTATTTATGTTTGTATTGTGATTTGAACGTCTTTCTTATTCTGTAAAGCGCTTTGAGTTACTTAGTGTACAAATTGTGCTATACAAATAAACTTGCCTTGCCTTGTTTATTATTATAATATGTATATTGTAAAGAAAGATGAAGCCGAGACAAGTTCCCATGTTGAAAAAATAAGCAAAAATTGTCACTTGAACCATGATGAAGATGAAAACTTGGAGAAAATTTGGGGTTTGTATCAATTGGCTTAGTGAGAAAATGTATTTAACACGTGCTTTTTTTTGTATTTTCTTTCTCTCTTTTTCGTCTTTTATTATTATTATTATTATTTTTAAATTGGTGGTTTTGGTTTTAAAATATGTTGAAACGTAACTTCCCACTCCACAACATTTCCGTATTGAGCGTAGTATTGTTTTATTTAAAAAATTTGTGATGAGGATGACTTATTACAACTAACAGAATCTTGTAGTATCATTGCAACTAAAATACTTTTGACTGTTATAAAAATCATAAAGTACTTATTGTATTCAAACAGACAGGGATCCCAACTGTCATGCCATAAAGTGAAGTGTGTCCATGCATTGCATTGTTTTAGTATCATCTATATATTTTAAACCAAAATATGTTTTACATTTTTGTATTGAGTATAATATTTACACGAACAAGGGCCCCAACAGTCATGTTTTGTATTGTTTTATTTGCATATTTATGATGATGATGACTTACTACGGCTAAAACAACCTGCAAGTTTTTAAGAATCATGCATATTCTCAACTAAAATAGGTTTAAATGTTACTTTCCACTGCGCAGTATTTATGTATTGAGTATAGTACTCAGACAGACAGGGGCTCTGACAGTCTCACCTTAGAGTCAAGTGTGCCTGTGTATTGTATTGATCAGATATGCAATAAAGTAAAATGTCCAGGGAATTCTAAAATTAAGAATGCATGATAAAAATGCATGATTAAAGATTAGTATCATGTATGTTTTAAACCAATATACAGTATGTTTTCCATTTCTGTATTGAGTGTAATATCCAGACAGACAGGGGCCCCGACAGCCACACCATAAAGTAAAGTGAGTCCGTGTTGTGGTGGTCAGGAAACAGTCGATTGTGTAGTCTCATATCTCCGCACTGGGAGATAGTGTCTTTCACAGCTTTTGTCAAAAGGAGCCAGAGAGAAGCTGCGCGCCGCCACAGCCAAAGACTGATAGGCCCTCCCTTTGTGACAGGCCACAGAGCACGAAGAATGCACCGGGTGCTCCTCCGCATTGTTACCACTGTTTTTATAGGAAGGCTCCGAGGCAGGGGAGGGGGTATGTGTAATTTGCCCCCCCATGGGTGAGAGCAGAGGGGGGGTGAGAGCAGGGGGAGTGACAGGGGGGAGAGGGGGGTGATAATTAAGCTCACATTGGGACTTTGATCTCTGTGATTGTGCATTTGACTGGCCACACCAACCCACCGTCATGTGAAACCCACACCTCCAGTGCCCCCGCCCCCCCTCTCCAAACACAGGCTTTTGTGGAGAATGACAACAAGAAGGTGGAGGGGGGGTTATCCTGTCAAAAGTTAGCATGGGACTCTCAAAATCTGAACAGAAGTGTAAATAGAGTCATTTTATATGTGGTATTTTTATTTTCGTATAGACATGATGGCTTAGTAATTCTGCTAAATGTTATAACAGTGTTGTGTTAGATTAAAGTTTATTTTTATTACTTATTTATCTGTGAGATTACATATTTATAATTTAATTGCTATTCTTGAACTGTGAATTGCAACATTGGACTTTTACCAGTGTGGGACAAACAAAAATGGTCTTATCTTAATTTACATTTGAGCTATACGTTGTGGAAATGATATGTGTCACCTTAAATTAAGTTTTCGACTTCATGTGAACATTCTGACAAATTTTTTAAAATCAGAATTTAGAATTTTGAAATACAGAAAAATTACACTAATTGTCAATATTACTCCTGTAAATATTTGACATACAATTCTCAAACTAATAACAATTGTGCGTAATATTGTTTACATTATTTATTAGTATAATTATTTAAATGCCTAAATATAGAATTGGTGTTCTAGTCTATGAACATGAAAACTCTTGAAGATTTTTACACAATTGAAAATATGAGGTAAAAGTGTTTTTTTTTCATCACAATTTCAGATAATTTCAGATAATTGATAGTTGATTGACTTTACCATCCTTATAGCATGAGACCAAATATAATCTTTAAACTACACTTTGCACCTAATGATATTTTGTGATTGAGCAGCGAGTCTCAGAAGCGTTACCCTGCAATTACTCCGACCGGACCAGATATCCTTGGCAATTTTGTTTGAATGAGGCAAGAGAAGGTGTATTTTTTAAAAGGGACATTATCTTCCATGGCTCACAGGTAAAGAGCATAATAAATATATAGGACATAGACAGTGACCCTTCTCACAGTCTCTGTATAATCACCACTGATTGCTAATCAGCGTGTCAATTCTTCAGGTTACAGCCGGACGTTTAGAAGCGAGCCTGGCGCTGGCCTCTAATTGGATGCTCAGTTGTTCTATGTGAAGAAATGTATGAATAAAATATGTGTTTAAGAAATACTATAGCGATGTAAGTTAGAATAAAAATAGCTTTTTGCCCTAAGTATTAAATTGTAAAAATGATGGTTCAAATATTATTTCAGCCAGCAATGAAGGTTGCTCTTATAGTAGATAACAAAAATATATTTTTTCAGTGGGTAAAAGCTGAGACTCATAAATATATCTGGTTCACAAAATAAAGAAATGATTGATGTTTGAATATGCTGAATTAGTATTAATTATTAGAATAAATTCATATAAAACACCTAAATTTTAAACTATTATATGTCTACACCAGCATATATAATGTGAAATAATAATCATGCTTTTACACTACTCTATTAAGTTGATACATTTTGCTAGATTTCCACTTTTTAAACATTTATTATTCATTATTTAGCCTCTCTAGTGCTGCCTGAAATGATAATCTGTGTAACGTACACGTACTAATACTACTTTTTTTTTTAACTTAAATAAATAAAAAATAAATAGATTGTAAAAACATTGAATTTCTACATTATCTCAATTTATATTTCCCCAGCAGACACAAGAAAGATGCTACTAATAATAATGATAACGTGACTATCCTGTGTAATATTGTGCTGTGTCTCCCTCTGGTGGCCACTTTACAAACTGACAGCAATGTAAAAAAAAAACTGAAAAACAAAAACAACAATACAAAAAACAGGGAAATACTGTAGTCAAATAGCCATATATGTTAGCTGTGGCACAAATAAAAATACTTACCGTGTTACATAAGGGGAGGATTTGAGGAGGAGTGCTCACCTGTTTGATAGGAATGGCCCTTCCACTGCCTATGCTGTCTGTCTTACTGTCAACGTTCTTTGCCTGCTCACTGGCTTTCCGCGACTGCAACGAAAACAAGAGAAGTCAGTTAACACCAAGGACGACGCATGACAAAGCAAAACAATAAAATAAAAAAAGAAATTAAAAAAAAGAAGAAAGAAAAACATAAGAATTGCTGTTGCTGTAAATGCGTGGGTGTATGCTTGAATCTGAGTGGGGGTCTGGAGAAGTGTGTGATAGAAATGTGCGTGAAATAAGTCAAATAAATCGTTAAAAAAAGAAGCTTCAAATGAAAAGACAAGCAGACCAGCGGACCAAACGGTAGGAACATCAACGTGCAATCATAAAACGGAGAACAAGACCACACGGAGCACATATCAACACGTAACATCGAGTCATGACTCTGTTTGAAAAGCTAAAAGTTATCGGCATATACTTCCTTTCATATGAGCAGGTCTGTTTTGTCAACCTGCAAACCACCTGTTATCATAATTTTGCAAAAATATTACACAGATTTAAAGGAGAGAAGAGAATATTGTTAGTGATTTCTTCAGTGTAGGTTGTCGAGCTGTGAATAAGAAAGCTATGAGGGAGAAATGAGCATAAACATTGCAAGCGTTTCAATAGACCTGTATGGAAAAACTTGTCAGATCATGAAAATGCATTGTAAAAGTTCCCACCCCGTTGCAAAAAATAAAATAAAAGATGATTGACATTTAAGACAGACGTGATCGTATGGTCTCACTCATAACATGGGAATGTCCACTCATCAATGGAAAGAGGTAGAGGCTCAATTCAAAGCAATGCCAGGCTGCTTTTTAATTTTTTTTCCAACATTTTATTTCATAATGATGACTCATTTTAGCTTCTATACAGACACCATACAAAGCAAGTCACAAATTCACTTCAAAATATTCAACAGATTGAGCCAAACATTGCAGTTCCCACAAAATATAGGATGGACAATAAAAGGCATTATTTTCATATAGTTCTTATAGGTAATGTTTGTATATACCATTATAAATAAAATACAATACAAGATATACATCGGTCTATATTTTTCATCAATCCGTTCATGATTTATAAATACGATTATGCAAGTTCATAATCTCAAACCTAAATGGTAAAAAAAATCAAATAAATTAAATAAATAAGGAATGAATCAACACAAGAGAAAGTTGAAATAAATAGTTTTAAATAAATAATAAATATATATTAAGTACATTCATACAAGTCGGTGCAACCCATTGTCCATTTGTTTCGTATAACCTTTGACCCTGACTGTCTACTCTCGTGTTTATGAAGGCCTTCATAACGTCAACCATAGTTTCTCCTGTTCTATATACCTCCGTGTACAATACAATATCATATTCCCTTTGCATTTGAAACCACAAAAGCTCAAATTAAATCAGAATTGTCAAAATAAATGTAGGAAAGTTGGTTAAAAGGAAGAACAAAAATAACGTGGCACCTCGAGTCCTTGAGTCCTCATTCATGGCAAAAGGCAGTGTGATGTAAACAGAGGGTCCCTTGGGTGGTAGAGTAACAGTTCCCAGACTCGACTGTACACTGATGGCTTATGGGTAAAATGAACGCACGCTATATAATGTGGTCGGGACTGGTGCGGGACTAGGGCATTTCCGAAAGAGTCCCTATACGACGGCATGTTCCACAGTCTACAGTGAACTTGGCCAGACTTGACTTAAGTCCTATGTGATTCTGCATTACAAATCTGCAATAAGTCAACTCCTCTCTATTGGCAAAGCAGCGGGACTCTGCTATTTTACACAACCTCTTCTAATTTGGAAGGAGTTGGAAAGCCCTTTGTGTTGACGAAAGGTTGGAAACAGAAGCGCATATCTGCAAATATTGAAAAACAAAGTCAAATTGATTGTTTTGGAGATTAACTGAATAGAAATAAAACAAAAAAAAACCTAACTAAATAACTGACACTAATATATGTAATGCTTGAGCAAAATGGGATGACTTTAAGTATAAAAGATTCATACTCATCTAGACTATGTGCTTTGAACAAGAAAAGGGACAGACAGTTTCCAAATAGTTATTGACGTGTCGTGGAAGCACTAGGAAGAGTAATGTGTACTGTGGCGACATCTAGTGTCCGCTTAAGGTATGGCATTACTGTTTATTAATAAAGATCTGACTAGTGTAAAGACAGTGAGTACTTGTTTTGTGGTAAAGCTTGAGTCTTGATTTCTTACAGTAAATAAAAATGCTTGTTTAAACGTTGCATTACTAACCAGTTATGGGTTGACCAATTGTAGACCAACTTTTAACTCACACTGCAAGAGTCCCAGTGCCAGTGCCATGACAAAATACTACCTTAGAAAAAAATCTTGCAGAAAAGAAATTGCGATTGCATGTATCCTCTGAAGTCTGTCAAAGCGTGTTGACATTAAGGCATAAGTCTTTCTCTTCAAACAACATATAGTGACTTACTAACAAGAAAAAATTGGGGGGATAGCATTTGGTGATTGAAACATTTGATACCAGTTGTTATGGACAAAGCAACATTGTTGAAAAAGCCAGCCAGATATTTGCTCTCATTTGTAAATTGGCCAAAATTGTTGCTTCCTCTTCAAAGTGTGCTTCCTTCTCTCCTTCTCTCCTTCCTTCCTCCCCTCCCTCCTCCCCCTGTCCGCTCTGGGGGGGGGGGTCCTCAGAACGTCATGAGCTGAAACTCCCGCTCGGCCTGCCATTCGGGCACCCACACCGGGTAGGTGGCGTGCTTCGGTATCTCCATGACGCGGATGGGGAGAGAAGGCTCATTTCTCTGGTGGACATGGTTAGTCACTACCTAAGCAGGGGGAAGGGAAGGGAGACAACAACAAGAGGGGAAGCTAGCACGTAGGCTGTGGTGGTGACTGTGCACTGTAAGGACGCCACGCTTTAAAGGTGGCTCCCAACAGCAGCTAACAAGGGGAGGAGGGAGGGAGGGGGCACAGAGAGAAAGCAAGAGCGAGAGAAAGAGGAGAAAGACAGAGGACAGCTTTGTCTCGTCACTAGGGACCCACAGTTGTTACTTAGAATTTATTATTATATTTTTTTTACTCTTTGTTATTATATTATATTGTGATGTATGAGCTACTGTATCCAAATTATTTCCCTTGTGGATCAATAAAGTTTGTCTAAGTCTAAATCTATGGACTGGACTTGACTGTTAAAGGTGCACTGTGTAACTTTTCTGGTAGAAAGTCCATCAAATGCTTTTCGCCATGGAGCTGGAATGTTTCAAAGTATGGGATTTAACCTTTCTATCTTCACGGAGACTAAACCAAACCAAGTCACAGGTCAGATCTGTGGAGAAGCGGCCCCGCTCACAGTCAGAATGCCTGTTTTTTTTAGGTATTTTTTACTATAAAACCACATGCAAGTTAAAAAATGTAAGGTAGAGCTGTTTAATGCCATACTGCGGAACATTCCAGGCAGAGTAATGGCATCTCCATAGAAACAAGCAGGTGATGGACTCTCAACCAAATAGCTACATAGTGAACCTTAAATGTTTGTATTGTTGTGTATTTTTATTTTTTGGTTTGGAGAGAGTTTGTTTTCCGTATGTATAATTTTAAAACTGAAAAACAGGCATTATAATTTTGGCTCAATTAGAAAAAATCTACAAAAAAAAAATGTAGTTTGCATAGATTGATGATTTGGACCAAAATGCTTGAAAGTTAAAACACTAGTAGTTGTAATAACATTGCTGGACCAGTAGGTGGGACTAGACTAAAACATAAAACAAGTGAAATAGCTAACAGAATCGTAAATAAGATGCAAACCGCTTTTATCAATCTGTTCGTTTTGGCAGCACATAAACACGCCTTTGCAATTAGACAAATGTGATGAGCCAAAGTTTGGAGGAGGAGGAATGACTCGGCAGTTTGAAGATTTTTTTTTTTTAAAGTTGTTATGTTGGGGAGAAATTATAAAAGGTCAACAGAATAAGCTTTGAGGAAACCAGAACATACCAGTTGTACAGAAATTGAGTTAGTACTGATGAAAACATTTTATTTGTGCATCTGTAGCTCTATAATTCAATTTAATCTTTATTAACAAGACATAATATCTGGTTTAAAGTCATGTAACTGTTATGGTGCTGATGTTTTCTCATGTATTTGAGTAAATATGTCTTGCCCCATTACATAAATATTGTATAAGCAGCTCGAGATCACAAATTAGTCTGTGTTTTTGTGTTCTTAACTGCTTTGGTCATTGCGGTGAATGATTTGGATACTCACATAATAACTCTGGACCATTGCGTTTTCTCAAAATTTGAAGACGGTAAAAATCAGATACTGCGTCTTTAACTAATCTCATCACCAATATGGAGTTGCTAATTGCTTGTGTAAAAAGATTGGACTTTATCGATTGCACTGTGCATCCATATTGATCTGTCCCTTTAAACCTCACAGACTTTCAGAAACAGGCGCAGTCAGCTTTGTCAGTTTTCTCAACTCACAAACAAGCCCCCAGTGGAATTCTTGTTTACGAATTTGACTTTGAAAACCTCCTCCAGACCAGAGAAGGGCCTGGCAGTGTGAAGTTTAAAGGGCTTCGAGGCAAAAAGAGCAGAAAGAGGACAGAAAGGAGCGGAGAGATAGAGGGAGAGATGGAGGCAGAAGGGGAGGAGGGCACAGGCTACAAGTAAAAGACAAGTATCGTGGCAATCTGGAGTGGTTAGTGCACACATTTGGTTAGAGCAATGGGCAAATACAAGAAGACATAAGGTGAAGGCAGGCAGGCAGACAGGGTGGGGGGATTCAGACCAGATTCGGGGCTGAGTGGACAATTTTTGTTTCAGTTTATGGGGACAAATTTGGAGTAGTGGATCGCTCGGTCAGCGGTAAGGACTTTTTAGTTTAAGTTCTCTTGGGCGGGAGAGAGTAGCTGATTTGGCGCGCTGCTGTTTTGGCCTCTGCCGCCGTCTCTGCCCCAAAAAGGGAAGTCACTGCAAAGAAAGGATCTAGTAGAAATAAGAGGGGTGGGGAGAGGGAGGGTTCAAACATTTAGACATTGCCGAAGGGGCCCAAGATTGCTATGGGTTAGACTGACTACATCCAATTGGAAAAGAAAAAAAGAAGCAAAAACAGTGAAGACGCTTTAGTTCCACAGTGCTTGTTGGAAATTAGCTCAGGGTTTTCAGGGGGATCTAGTACACGTTCTGTTTTGCCCATTGTGCTGCTGTGTACTTGGCTATGAGAGATCGTGTGTATATGTGGAGCTCCCTCTGGTGGACAAAGTGAGCCAGGGCAGAGCCTAGTAGTGCGTGTGGGTGCTGCTTTGCATCAGATGCCTCATACTTACTGTGAAAATGTTGGAGCGCCTCTTGGACTGCTTGCGGATGGGCGTGGGCGTGTTGGAGGCAGCGATGGTCTCTATGCGCATCTCCCGCTGGCTTATGCTGGGGGTGGAGGGGACGGAGGAGGAGTAGTCGCTGAACGCGCCCCCGCCATTGGACGCCTGGGGAGAGAGAGGGATGGAGAGATGGAGAGGGGATTAGAGGAGAAGGGGAGGAAAGAAAGAAAGAGAAAATTGCAGGTTAGAAGAGCATTATGAAGCAGGTTAAGTAGTAATGTATGTTTACAGCATTTGACAATCAATGTATATTTATTCAAGCCTGACTTTACACATGTGTAGCTATTCTTTGATACACTCTATACTTACATTTACTACTTAGAAGGGGTGTGCAAAAATATTGAAATATCGATATATTTTTTGGTATATTTTACTAAATTATTTTGTTACATCTACAGTTTTGTTGTTGTTAGAGGAAGGAAACTTGTTTATGCGACACATTTGGCATTTTCACAGTTTTAACAAGTAAAATTTGTGTGTTTCATATTCACTTTGCAAAAATATGGTTTAACAAAGACTTTTAGTATCACAACCCTGATTTAACCTTTGTTTTTTATTTAATAGTATCAAATCGTTTTGAAATATATCATATTGAATCAAAAGTGCACTGTATAGAGATATGTATTGTATTGCGGCCTGTGTATTGAGGTATGTATCATATTGGCAAATTCTTAATGATACCCAGCCCTACTACTTTTTTTTTTTTTTTGTTGCCTCAGTTTAAAGGGCCTGTATCCAATTTTTTTGTTTCCATGTATTTGATTTTTCTTGCCCCACTACAGATATATCGTATAAGCAGCTCTTGAGATCACAATATATCCGCCGTGTACTATTCAGGAAGTGTGTTGTAGCTTTACATTTACGGCAACACTCCACTCTGGTCTCTGAGAGTTGTGAAAAGTGTTTAAACTCATCACAGTGAATAATTACGATGCTCGGAGTAAGTGAGAAATAACATTTGAAAATTAAAACATAACTCAAATTGTAAATCCCAAATATAAGCATGACCTCAATATCACAAATAAAAACTTTTTAGATTTTCAGAATACTATTTGTTGCGTTATGTTGACTTTTCCCCTTAGAAATTATTTAATTTTTTTGTTTGTGATGAAATCAGATGTAATAACATTTCAGCATCAGTCTTACTAGACAGTCCCAGACAAGGGATTTCTGCCAGTTGCATGGTTCAGCACTGCTCTACACCCATTTCCTCGAGATCATTTTCTAGCATTAAAACCACATAAGCTCAGACAGTAATTATTAATCAAAATTATTACTGATTACTCTTCAAAATTAAAGTCTTGTATATTACTGTAGTATAAATCTAAGAGTAAGAGACATATCAAGCAGAGAGGGCAGTAGCTAAAAATTTTACACAAGTAAGAGTACCATTAATAAAATTTAAATATCAATACTAAAAATAATATTACTTAAGCAGAAGTAAGTAAGAAGTAATAAATTATTCAAGTGAGAGTAAAAGTATTTGGTCAAAGTACTACTCAAGTAAGAGTAACTGTTGGGATGTAACATTTGATTTGTAATTTAAAGTGAATGAAATTGGAAGAAAAAAAAACATAAAATAATGCACCAAATCTTGTATAGCCGAAGGATAAGCATAACAATGAGAAAAAATAAATTATATTTGAAGGAGCAATGCAAGAAATGCAAATCATTTAATACTGTCAACATAAAGCTTTTGTCATTTGTAGACTTAACTCACAGTGGGAAGAGTAACCAAAAGTTTTAGTCAAGAGTACAAATATTACCCAAGTAGGAAGTAAAAGTATGCCACAAGAAAAGTACTATAAAAAGTCAAATTTCTTTTAAAGGTTACTCAAGAAAATGTAATTGAGTTAGACTCCTGATATCAAGGTTAGAATGATCCAAATTTTGGAAAGTAAATTTGCCCAAAGTGAGTGAAGTGTACCTGGTTGATGTGGACAGAGGGGAGCGAGGCCGCTGGCACTGATGAGTGACTCGGGGAGTTAGGGAGAGATTTACACGGGCCAATGGACAGCTGCTGCTTTTTTCTCATGGCCACCACCTTCTGGGCAACTGCAAAAGACACAGACAAAGAGTGGAACATGACTTCATTATTATTTCACTCACAACACTGAAGTGATAGCTTGTTATGTAACTTTATTTTATCACTCATGAGCTTAGCAAATCTAGCACTGAAATAAAAGAAAAGAATGTTTTTCCCAATGAAAAGAACAGAATCCACTTTAAAGTTCTCCTCCTTCATCTCCTCAAAAACATACCCAGAGTGTTTAGGTTCATTCACACATGTTTGAGTAAACCTTTATTATTAGTTTGTCTACATCTCCAAAGCTCAAAATGCTGTTTCGCCTTGTGCTGTCATGAATCAGTAGTTTAAGTTAACTGCTACCTTTTACCTTAAGTTCAACAGATATTGGAAATTCCATGGCTGAAATTATTAAAATGTTTCTAATGACAGTGTATGCAATTTAAAAACACCATGGAGCACTTTCTGTATTACCACATGACATAAGATTTAAGATTTAATGTGTGTGACTTATTACTGATGCAAATTAAATACTAGATAGATAGATAATTTTTGACATCACAGTTTGGAACAGTGTTTTCTGTGTGAGTCTAGACTCACTGTGAATGAAACAAAACAACTCTAGGTATGTTTTTGATGAGGAAACAACATTACAACATAGATTAGAAAACAGCGTAATGTGGGCTCTTTAAATGTGATCTGAGTGTATACACTCAAATGAAGTCACATGTTTCTCTGTGGTCGTTGAGTATACGTCTTGGTAATGACAGTCCTGGTGCTGTGCCAGAGACTTTCTTACAGCAGAAACCAACAGAAGGTGTTTTCCCCAAAGACTCAATTAGATGCACCTGCCTAATGAGGAAGAATAGTACTGCATTTCCATAGAGAGATATAACATTCCTGACTGAGCAAAAGTCCAGCAACTCATAATTCCTTCTAGTGAATAGGAAAATTGGAACATGCTCATTCAATTAGGAGGTCAGAATGTAGCACAAACTGTCTGTCTAGATCTAATTCTTATTTCATTCATACAGAATCAGACTGGACTGGATACCGGGTTCTCATTCTTTTTCACTGACAAAATTTTAAAACTTTTCCATGACTTTTTCATGAGCTAAAGTGAATTTTTCATGACTTTACAGCACCTACATGTGTAGAATTGATTTAGGGCTAAATCTGAAATGTTAACCCTTTCCACTCACCTTATGGTTTGGTTTTATAGTTTTTTTAACATTCAAAATACTGTCAGTGCATTTATTGTTGTCTCTTTTAAACAAAAGGCGCAGACGTTCAGAAATAATCATAATAGCCTAATGATAACTTAACAGAACACTGTTGTTATGTGAAAGAGATACAAAAATTTTATGACTCCAAAACCTTCATTGAATTTACAGAATTCCATGATCTTTCCAGGATTTCCATGACTGTGGGAACCCTGTGGATAGTATTGATACTTTGCAGCTGATGCCTCTGTCTGAGGCTCTGTTACTCAAGTTACACTTTAATCTGACCTTTAATTGAACGCAATCTGAACAGAAAGAGCTGACTTAGTTGGCACCACAACAGGAGAGCTGATTTGTGCTGTTAAACAAGTCTCTCACACAAGAAATAACTGTCACAAGATAGCGGTCATTAGCCAGCAGTTTTTCATTTAGAAAATCATACACCACCACCAATGTGCTGTTTAAAACTGTTTTGTATTTTTTTCAAATAACCTTACAACTTTTTTGTCAGTGTTTGCTAATGTGTGCATTGTGTCACCATGGTAACGACTGGACATAATATACTTGATACTTCATAATACAACTTAACACCATAATTATAAACAAGCAGTGGCAGATGAGACTAGACCGGTCAACAAACAAATTTTGAAGTACGATATATATTTCTAAAGTAAATATAGACGATAAACAATAATATAGAAATAAGCAGAGCAGATTTAAATCACAAAAAATATTCTAAATATACCATATTGTTAAAAAAATTATGAGCTGCAATAAATACATAGCAGCATGAACACACCGCTCTGAACTATAAGGCGCACTGTCATTGAATGGTCTATTTTCAAACTTTTTTCACAAATAAACCGCATTGTACTTTACATGAAACACAACAGTGTAATGGGTCAGTGGGACTTTGTTTGGTGCGTTCACAGTGACTCTGGCTTTGTTCAGTTGTGGCGTGTAGGAAGGGTGCTGTCTGGGACCACTGGATTGTTAGCGTGTTCGCAGTTCCGTTCCTCGTCTGCATGGAGTGATGAGTGCGGGTGTTTTTCGCTGCGCAGTCACTGTCTGCTCTGTGTGTGTTTGTGTGCGCTGCGAGTGGTGCGGCTTTGTAGTTTACTGAAGTTGTGCTGGGACACCCAAGTGGGTTCGAGTATAGGGTGCTTTTTGAGTCTGAGTCTGGGTTTGAGGCTTAAGAATGCGCCCAATAACCCAAAAAATACGGTAGATAGATAGATACTTTATTGATCTCAAAGTTTCAGGACAAAAATTATCTATCTATCTAGTATTTAATTTGCATCAGTAATAAGTCACACACATTAAATCTTAAATCTTATCATATAGCCAGAAGATACACACCATAAATACTGAGCCCAAAAACATATTGTCAAAGATTTCATATAGTGAAGTTGATATAGTATTTAATCTTTATGCTGATGTGAACTCTGCATATCATCTACATTTGACTGCTGGTTTTGTAGTCAGGAAACAAGCCACAGTATTGTAGCTTTGACACATCTCCTGAGATAAGTGCGTTCATTCAGAGGGATGTAATCAAACGCAATAATACCTGCCAGGGCATCTGATCCGATTCACACCTATCTATAGAGCAGATAGAGCCATAGTTGCAGCCCCGATTTGCGACACTGCCACGAAACCTGCTATTTGGTTGACAGCACTGGGGTGGGGCAAGAATTAGCACCAAGGGAGATAGTGCTGTTTTGAAGTTGCACTGACAGCTGGGACGGTGGCACAAGGAGGAGGAGGTGAGAGTGATGCTGAGTGTTCCCACAGACAGCCAACGCGCCTTCATCTCTTTTAATTATTTCAAATTGGGCTTCAGGAAGCAATTAATGCAGGGGAGGAAGACAACGCACAGACATCAACAGAGGAGGAAGTCTAAGGCGAGTGTGCTACAGGAGATTCTGAAGTTTTTCAAGGATGACAAGCTTTCAAAGAGCCTTCATGACTTCACTATATTATAAGGGAGAGCTTGAGTTTGTAGACTAGACTTTTTTTTTGTACATGGCATAAAGGAGAATAACTAAGGAGAATTGCTTATAAAATATTTAGCCATCTAGACAAAGCCGATGGATGGCTATTAGACAAATCATGATTGAACTGAAATTTAATTGAAACTGAAATTGTCAAAACCTTGTAGTTCTGATCTCTACAAACAGCAAAAGCAGGTGATTCTTGTAATACTTTAGCAGTTGCTAAACTGCCATTAGCAGGAGGGCTGCTCGATTATGGAAAAAAACAACAACATTATCACGACTCTTTTGGTCAATATTGAAATCACGATTATTAAAATGATTATTTTTTAGTTACACGATGCATTTATTCAGCATTTCTCTCTTAAAAAGATCACTTTGTTATTGATAATTTATGCAAAACTTTCAAATTGAAAATAAATTCAGGCTACAAATATGTACCTTTTGCAATATATAAAACATAAAATGACTAAAATATACATGAAATAAGACATAGAAAAACATAAATGGACATAATGTCCAAAATAAACTATATCCACAGTTGTTCTACAATCATATTTAAAAAAACTAAATAAACATACTTATTTATATTAAAAAATATTCCAAGATAAACTTTGTTAAGCTTTAAATCCTTTCAGCAAAATCAAATCAATCAAAATTTGATTAATTGCACAGCTTTAGTTCAGATTTCAGTCTTCTCTGAAATGTTAATGCTCCAATGTGTTTTTAAAAGGTGAACTTTGAACAGAATCTTTTACCTGCCCAGTCAGAACCACACGCTTTGACAAAACTTTACCAAGACAAATGGATGGATGAGTGTGTCTGTTTGCCAAGTTCTGTTTTTTTTTTTTTTTTTTTGTATTGTTATATTTTGTCTTATTTTGGTTGTTGTGTTTATTCATTGTATTAAATATTATTATGGTTTATACTTGTGTTCATTATTTAATTTGTTGTGTTGATGTCTGTCTGTTTGATGAAGATTGGTATATCACAGATACTATGAATAAAAAAGAGAGAAACAATAGTCTCCCTGATTTCAGAGGGCATGATTGAGAGGCAGATTAACCAGTCAGAGAGATGTATGGTTCATTTGCATCATGAACAACATAATACAACATAAGGTCTGAGAAACAATGCCGATTTTTGCAGAATCAACAATCGAAGCACCAAATTGTTTCTTATCTCAGGTGTAAAAGAAGTTGTATATTTTTTGTTCTGAATGATACAAGAATTTTGGAGAGGAGCCGTCTTCCGCATTTGGATAGTCTTAAGTTTGGACGCCGGATTTTCACGCTCTGTTGTCCAATTCCAGGCCCTTCTGAATACGAACAGAATGTAGAAGGGACTGGCTGGTCACACAAAAGAATCTTGCCATCTAAATATAAACTGCAAATTAAACTGCAATGCTTGTCAGAAGAATGACAATTAGATATGTTTCCAAAATGGTGCAGCTCTAGAGGACATATAAACAGACAAGAAAATACCGTACACTGTCAATTCATTCCAACTATTCAGCAGTCTCTTTCCGACAAACTCTGAATGTTTTGTTACAGTAGAAACAGCGCTCAGGGAGACCAAGGTCAGTTTCCTTGTCCAAATAGAAGACAAACTGTCCCAGGAGCTGCATATTATATTAGTGCCCTCTGGTCTTTGGTTCAGTCAGGGCATTTGTGTGAAAAAGAGTACACAGAGTTTATATCCAGTCCACCTGCTTTACTCCATGGAGATATTACTGTTTCGCCTTGATTATTCCACAGTACGGAAATAAACTTTGTAATCACAATAGAGACAGGTTAATAGTCAGCTCTATGGAGAAGCAAGCCTGCACATGGTAAGAATTCATGTTTTTTAATGTATTTTTGAGCTATAAAACACATGTACCATAATTTCCACACTATAGGGCGCACTTAAAAGCCTTTAATTTCATGAAAAAATGACTGCGTGTTTTATAATCCAGAGTGCCTTATATATGAATTTATTGGGGTGTTTTAGTACGACTTTAGTAAACTACAAAGCCTCACCACTTGCAGCATTACGACTACCGTATTCAGGAGCATCGCGGAGTAATACATACAGTGATTCTTTTTAAAATCAAAATGCCACCTGTCAAGAGACACGCTCACAACGCAGACTTTAAACTCAAGACTATTATTATAAAGTTAAACTGCGAGCTGTGTGGGAGCAGTGGATGAGAGAAGGCGAACACACATTCACCAAGACAGAGAGACAACGCCGAGGACTTACACCACAATCTGCCAATGGATCGTGGACGCCTGGGCTAAGGATCAGTATCAACTGTGGTCCGAACTTTCACCAAGACCGGAATCATCACTGAACTGCCAGGTAACAGTAACCACACTGACTCAGACAATGATGAGAGGGATGCGGGCGTGCTGGACGCCGTAATCGCTCAACTGTTTGAACAATTATGAGTTATTGTGAATACGCTAACAATTTAGTGGTCTCACAGTATTTTTTTACACGTTACAACTGAACAAAGTTGAGAGTTATTGTGAACGCGTTAAATACATTTGACTGACTTACCTAATTGTTGTGTTTCGTTTAATGCGCCTTATAGTCCAGTGCAGTTTATATGTGAAAAAAGTTCGAAAACAGACCTTTCAATGACAGTGCGCCTTATAATCCAGAGCACCCTATAGTGCGGAAGATACGGTAATTGAACAAATACAAAGGAGATACATATAAACAGAAATTGTGTGATCTCATCCTTGCAATTTAGTGATAACGTCATTTGTGATGCAGTGCCGCTTTTCTCTTAATGCAGCTCTATGCTCAAACGCTGCATTTCCCGACTCCTTCTATTTGTCAGTCTCATACTCTGAGTGAGTGACAGGTCGCTTTATATAATAACAGTGACTCATGGACTCTCAGAAGAAGCAGGTTACTTTAGTTAAAGGCGAAATAAAGTTAGTGATCTGTACATGAACAGTGTTAGAAATCAAAACTCTGGTGATGATGTGGCTCTAAGAAAATATTAATCTTATTCATATTAATATTTTAAGCCTATTGTCAACAGATTCAGACTGGTATATACAAATTTTTACTTAAGATACCTTTATGTCACTTAATTGAATTTCTGTACAATATTCAAAGCAAACGTGATGACCTGTATGAAAGCTCAAATTGTATTATTATTTTGAAATATAGTTTAAAAAAATAGAAAGTACTACTAGTTTCCATGGAGACAGAAAACGCTGAATACTACAGGCAAAGAAATGACATCTCCATGGAGACAAGCAGCTGAAAAAGTTAAAAGTTAAAATTTCTTCATGTTGGCGTGCAGTTAAATGGAGTAAAGAATCATGGTCTATGTAGTTACCACAACCTTTTACCTCACAGAAGCAGGAAACCGCTGCATTCCCAACCTAATAGCTTACCATTTATTATTCTAAAAAGCTCCTTGATAAAATTGGCACAATATATATCAACATCCCTCGTTTGCAGTTTTATACCTCTCTGCTCTGAACCTCCCGTCCAACATTATCGTCTCACAAATCGTCTTTACCAGACAACAGAGCTAGAGGTAACAGATGTGGTCGACTCCCCTAGCTCCTTGTAAAGCATAAATCAGATAGATCTGCCTCCTCACCGTCCTGGAACACCCTCTCCACGTTCAGGCCATAGGTGGAGCAGGTCTCATAGTACGTGCAGCGCTTCAGATCGTTGGACAGCTTTCGGGCTCTCGAGTCGTCAATCACTCTGGGGTTGGCTGCGCTGATGGCATCTGGAGTGAGAAACACAAACAGAAGTCCAAACTTTTAGGACACAATTCAAAGTTTGGTGGGATTTATTTATACATATGCTGCTTGTATTATAAAGATGTTAGTATTTTGTAAGTGTTAAAGGTGCTATATTGTACAAAACTGATTCTTGTTTAAGTGATCCTTCATTATTAGTCTGTGTACATCTCAGCTCAAAATGCTCTGTTCCACCTTGTGATGTCATGTATTGGTAGTTTTTAAGTTAACAGCTACCTTTTACCTTTTGTTTAGTAACGATTGGCAATTCCAGGGCCGGAATCATCCAAATGGTTTTAATGAAGGTGTACAGAGTTTAAACACACACAGAGGAGCACTTTATGTATTACCACATGACATCACAAGGTGGTACAGAGTGTTTTTTGTTTGAGGAAAGAATCTAAATATACAGGGTTTGTGTGTTAAACATGCGTGAATGAAACAAAATACATCTCAGAGTATGTTTTTGATGAGGAAACATTATAACATAGATCAGAAAATAGCATAATATTGGCCCTTTAACATGGCATAGAGAAAAATTTATTTACACCATATTAACAGTTTCATCTGATGTGAGTAATCTGATTTCTTATTCACAGATGCGCAGGTGTTGACAAGAGAATTTTTGCAAAACAGGGCAAACTAATGTGGCAAAAACGAAAGAGAAATCAATACACATTTAATGAACAATAAAATTCATTGTACTTTGTCTTTCAAATACAGTTACTTTTAATTGAAAAGTTGCCTAGTGCACCTTTAAGTCATTTCATTCTGTATTTAATTGAAAAAAGTAAAGACAGAGCTGCTGAGTCACTGTAGTCTTACATAGTGTACCATTTGTATAGTACTGTAGTATCTATATTGTAAAAATAATGAAAACTCAATTGATACTTTGCAGTGACATCATGCTGGGGGTGTTCAATATGTACCTCTGCTGGCAGCATGTTCAACAGTTGCCAAGGTGACAAAATGCAAGCATTAGCAATGACCTGCAAAGATGTTTCAAAGGAACAGTCAGGAATTTTGGACATAGGACCTCATTTCCTTGAGTATTGGAGACGAGTGGAGACACTTTAGCCTGCTACTAAAAACAGTCTTACCCACTCCATAGGTGCACCTGAGGCAAATCTATTATTACACCAGACAATTGATGTAAATGTCTGTGTCAATAGAATCATTTTAGAAGTAAAACCAACCTTTATGCTTGAGCAGCAGCTGCGAGTTGTACTTGCTGATAAAAAGCTTGACAGCGGTGGACTGATATGAGAAAATAGTCCCTCAACATGCGACGATTCATGCGATGCAAGGTTAGATTTATTATAAACATTATTCTATCAAAACAGACATTCACATCAACAGTCTGGTGTAATAATAGATTTGCTTCGGGTGTTTTGTGGAGTGGGTAAGACTGTTTTTAGTGGCAGACTAACTATGGCCATTGACATGCACTAGCCTAGCATCACTGACCTCTGCAAATACAAGGACTGGATGGAATCTTTTAAAAAGTGTCTCCACATAAGCCAAAGATGTTCATTTTGTCTTCTTACGTAAGCAAGCCATCATCAGAACTGTCACTGGTGTTGGTTTTGACGTGTCGTATATCAGCTGTTGTTACTTCCTGTAGGCGTAGTCAGCCTGATGGACCTGGCAGGGCCGCTCAGACTGACCACGTCTCCCGTCGCCCAGTGTTCTCTGGAGGAGGGTGTCCCAGGTGTGTGAAAGAAGGAACGCTCCATCATCACGGTTAATGCTGTCCGTGCCTCTTTTCCTGATTTCAACGGCCTCCCTGATGCCTACAGGAAGTATCAACAGCTGATATACAACATGTCACCACCAACACCGGTGACAGTTCTGAACATGTCAACAAGGTAAATACACTTTACTGTATTGTCTTTAAAAAGAACTAGGTTTAGTGTCTCCACATGTCTCCAACACTCTGGCTCACTAGGAAATGAGGTCCTATGTCCAAAATTCCAGACTGTCAATTCAAGATCTGAAAACTCAAGAAAAAATACTAAATAGATTTAAACCACATTTTCAGGAGCATGTGATCAAAACGAGCATCCATGGTCCCATTTAGGAGATTGAGTTTCAACACAAAAGACTATGTATTTTATGTGTGAGAGACTTGTTTATGCACACAAATCATGTCACCATTTATAGTTCCAACCAAGTCATCTCTTTCTGGTCAGATTGTGTTAAAACAGCTCAGATTAAGTTAAGGAATGTTAATGACATCAGCTGCAAAGTATCAATGGACCCTTCTTATTACATACATTTTTTCTTCATCTAAGAACTCAGATAACGTGAATAAGTTGACTCTCAGTATCTGACTTTCTATATTATGATAACACACTCGCTCTAGCCATGTATGCTGATGTATTGAGAAGAGATCAGAAGCGGTATTATCCTGAACCTTGCGTCCCGACCAGCACCATGGGGACCTCAGCTGTGTTCCTGTAGCTCGACAGTCTCAGAAAGTAATTGTAGACGGTCTGAAAGCTGATCTCATCCTCCAGGCTGAACACGAACACCACTGCATCCACCCAGGCAGCAAACTGGAACACAGCAAAGAGGAGAGACAGGGATTATAGCCACTGGAGGTTTGTTCGGCTCACTGGATACAGCAGGAATAATATGCATATTCTTTTAGAAAATATGAAACAAGATCAAGCAACCAATGCCATTTTACAAAAACAACAAGATGGTGCAAAATGGTTATTGCAAAAGGGATATTGAAGCTGTAATCTGCTAAAACATGTCCATAGACAGTACAATTTTATTTTCTGGAACTAAAGATTTCTTACTCACTTATCACATTATCATTATAGTACGAGCTAACTAACAGCAAGAAATGCAGGCTAGGGAGAGCATATTTGGTAATTTGCAAATATTTGCACAGAGAAGCAAATGAGTGGTAATTGGGTGTATAATTTATTCAATCATAAAGTGAATAAACAAACTAAAAGAAGGTTTGACCTTGATGTCCCAACTATTATTCCACATGAATATTTCTTCTTATAATAATTGATTTATAATTTAAAGATGAACTGCTACCTACTTGTCTCCATGGAAATGTTATTGCTTTGTCTAGAATGTTCCACAGTCTAGATTAAACCTATCACTATCTATCACAAGGGACACTAACCCAGGTTACAACACCACACTACATTACAATTCAGATCTGTGGAGAGTTGCCCCTATTCACAGAAGGAATTATTGTATTCTTGAACAACAGAAACACCACACTCCATCAGAAAAGTTGTGCAGTGCAACTTTAATGAGATGCAGGATTCTTATTCTTTTACACTGACAACATTTCAAAACTTTTCCATGACTTTTTCATGACCTAAAGTGAATTTTCCATGACTTTACGGCACCTACAAGTGTAGAATTGATCATATTTTTAGGGCTAAATGTGAAGTGTTAACCATTTCCACTCACCATACAATATGCTATTACAGTTTATTTAACATTCAAAATACTGTCAGTGCATTTATAGCCATCTCTTTTAAACAACAGGCGCATACATTCAGAAATAATCATAACAGCCTAATGACAACTTAACAGAAGTAACTTAACAGTAGTTGAGTGACAAGATTGTAAAATTGCATGAGTTTTCCAGGATTTCCTTGACAGTGGGAACCCTGAAATATTATATAGGTGCATTAGTGTTGTCACAGTACTAAAACTCTATTTCAATACTAAGGAACAGACTTGATACTCCATACTCAATACCAATATCACAATGATTAAAAACAGTCTTTAGAATGTCAATTTCAACATTAAAGGGCTCATTATATTATGATTTTTTCTTTTTTTCTCTTATGTTATTTCCTCAACCTGGAGTTGTGTTGTGTCATATTTAGGCTGATAATTATTTTTATGGCTGTGTAAGTTTATATCCTGACATGATCACAAAAAGCAATACACAAAAGAAACAGAAAGAAGGCAAAGCTCACACTCTACTACTGTGATTTTGCTGAACTGTTCCTAATTCCTGACTTCAATACAAAAAAAATAAAAAATTCTTATAATATTATCATGTTTGAAACGTACAGTGGCGATTCCCTGTCGCGACACAAGGGGGCAGTGCAGCAGCGCGTCTCGCCGCTTGCGTTTGCAGTCTGAACACGCGACTGAATGACAATGAATGATTCCACCACGGCTAAAATAATATCAGCTCGCCTCTACCCCCGCTGCGATCATCATTCGTGCATTTGCTGCGTCACAGAAACAAGCCGGTCATTAATAATCCCTGAAACTTTATGAGCGAGTGCGAGGAGGACTCCCGTGAGCAAAGACCATCAATTCTAATCACCATCAATAACACGCGCCATAACTACTGGAGCGCTGTGTACTAAAAAGACTGGCAACTGCTGACTGTTTTCTGGGCGTTTTCCTCTCCTCTTTCCTCGTTCATTCACTTTAGTATCTCGCATCGGCCCCCACAGGAAAACACGGTGCATCGAGCCTCCAAGCCGCAACTCGGATCGGCTTGCTCCTGTGAGTGGGAACATAATGGAGGCCTTTAATTATGCTAGTAATTATCCGGGCAGCTGACAACAGAGCCAAATGCATATCTATTCCCCAATCTATGCGAATGCGAGGCTCCAGTAAATCGTTGCAATGACAGGAAGATGTGTAGTAAGGTCTATGTGGCCAATAAAAGTTTACACACTCAAAGTTATGAATGAAACACTCCACTCTTGTTTATGTTTATTCATTAAATACGGGACAGGGCACGTTCATCAGCATGTGTTAGTACTGCAGGTTGATAATTGTGTATGAATTTCATTTCAAAGTACACTAGAGTAAGTATTATATAGCTGCACTAGTGATGTCACAGTACTAATATTTCAAACTATTTTCATACTAAGGGACGGACTTGATACTCAGTACTGAATACCAATACCACAATGATAAAAAACACTATTTATTTAGACAATAGAATGTCATTTTCAACATTCAGGGTTCCCACTCTTTTTCACTGACAAAATTTCAAAACTTTTCCGTGACTTTTTCATGACCTAAAGTGAATTTTCCATGACTTTACAGCACCTACATGTGTAGAATTGATCAGACTTTTAGGGCTAAATTTGAAATGTTAACCATTTCCACTCATCTTATGGTTTGTTATTATAATTTTTTAACATTCAAAATACTGTCAGTGCATTTATTGTCATCTCTTTTAAACAAAAGGTGCAGACGTTTGGAAATAATCATAACAGCCTAATGATAACGTAACGCTGTAGTTGTGTGAAAGGGATACTAAAATTCAATGACTTTTCCAAAACTTTCATCGAATTTACAGAATTCCATGACTTTTCCAGGATTTCCATGACAGTGGGAACCCTGAAGTATTATGTAGCTGCACTAGTGTTGTCACAGTGCTAAAATCTCAAACTCTATTTTCATACTAAGGAACAGACTTGATACCTGATACTCAATACCAATACCACGATGATAAAAACACTCATTATTTAGACAATATAATGTAAGTTTCCACATTAAAGGGCCCATTATATTATATTTTATGATATTTATGATATTTTTTGTTCTCTTATAATGTTATTTCCTCAACCTGGAGTTATGTTGTGTCATATTTAGGCTGAGTAATTTTCCCAAACTGAAAACACTGTTTTCCACCTTATGTCATGTGGTAATACGGTAAAAGCGCCACTGTGTTTTTAAACCTCATACAGCTTCACTACAATCATTTGGGTAATTTCAGCCCTGGAATTTCAAGTCTCTACTGATTTAAAGGTAAAGGTAGCTGTTAACTTGAAAACTACTGCTTCATGACATCACAATCATGAAGATGGAAGAGAGCATTAAGAGCTTTGGGCATGTATACTAGTCTATGTGCTCCTATACTTGTTCTCATACAGCTCAAGTGCACTCTAAAGCTATTCATTTCTGTCCTGGGAATGTGAATTTTTAGTTTTGACACCTGCTCAAATGACAGATCACTCGAGTTTTGGTACTAGTTTTAACAACAATTATCTGATTTTCTATCCTTTTCAACCCTAAGCCACACTATTCTGTTTGTAATAACATACAGTGTATTGTACTCTTTGTCTGCACAACACATGTTTCAGTACAGACTGTTCAGTTCAAGTAAGGTCCAGACAGTTTCCCTTCAATACATCATGTAAGTTGAAAAGTGCTTTAAAAGTGTTTGAAACTACGGTTAGTAGTTTGAGTCAGTGCTCATTTTGGTTCAGCTATTTTAAGTTTTCACAAAACCCCTGTTGCCTTATTTCACCTCCACTGTGCTGTTACAAGTGCAGTGTTTGAATTGGACGATATAAGTTTTAGGAAAGAAAAAGTAATTACACTACAACATTTTGTTATTAACCGAACAATTCCCAATGGAGAGTGCCAATAAATCTAAACTTGCCCCTGTACATATATATTGTAAGGTGCACTTGAGTTGAAAATCTGTTAGCTGTGTGTTTTCTTGTCCAAGAAGTGCATGGTTAGTATGCTAGTTATTTTCAGCTTTCATTTAATGGGAACTTATTCGCTACTAAAATAGGTCCATAGCATTCCTGATTGTCTGTTTGACACAGGATCGGCTTCCAAGTATGTTTTGGAATATTTTGGAGAGAGTATGTTGCGTTTGTTCATGTTCATTTAAAAAATGTCAAATGTTTTGGCAAACTAGGATCAAAAAGGTTGTATCTGTCATAGTATTTGATGCAACAGCATTCCAAGTTCATAATTCTCTGTTCTAAAAATGTCATGTCATGAAGTAGTAGTGCTCAAGGTAACAGCTATCTTTTAATCTCTTGTTATTTGGCAGTTTCTGGGATGAAATCCAAATGATTCATTCATGACATGGTGGAACAGAGTATTTACTGTTTGGGTGAAGAACTCAACCTAAATATGCAGGGTTTGAGTGTTAATGTGTGATTGAAACAAAACACAACCCCAGATATATTTGTGATAAGGAAACAATATTATAACAGAGATCATAAAATAGAGTAATATGGGCCCTTTATACTGCAGTTAGTAGTAAAGTGCTGCAATGTACGGCCCTATCTACTCTCCTTGCTTTGAGATTCTTTTGTTTTGTTACTTCAACTTAATTATGATTCCTATCACAGCATTAGCAGAAGGCTTAGACACTCACAATATCAGACTATGCTAAGCTGCAAGACAGAACAGGAAAAAACAAAACAAAACAGCTAGTCGTATTATCTCTTGACAACAAATACACCATATCCGATGCATCTTCTCTTCATCTTTATGCCCTTTTTCACTGCATCCTTAAATCTCCTCTAACCCGAGCTGTATAGGAGTCCTGTCTGCCAGCCTCAGCCCCAGACTCACTATCCCTTTATAGATTATTCCTCTATACTTTTACAAACCATCTCAGTCTGGTGTATCTGACTTAATCTGCAAAACATCTAACACAAGATGTCCTTGTATGTACTCATCTTTATCCGTGTCCTGTGATTCCAAATTTGAACTTTAAACTGCTGCTTTTCATTCATAACATAATGTTTACTAGATTTATTTATTATGCTATATTTGCTTTTAAAGGTGCACTATGCAATTTTTCTGATGGAGAGTCTGACACTTGCTCGTCTCCATGGAGATGTTATTGCTTTGTCTGTTTCATAGTAAGAAGGAATAAAATGATCAAAATCTATCTGTCTCTATGGAAATAAGAAGGGGATGCAATCAGGCCTATTTACAGGTCAGATCTGTGGAAAGGCAACCCTGCATACAGTATGAACGCATGTTTTTCAGCACTTTTTTTTGCAATAATACCACCTGTAATTGAATGAATGCAACTTGCGGAAACATTTATATGTGGTCATGAAAAGTTTCAAAGTGCACCTTTAAAACCAAAACTGTGAAAATGTTATGTACAAATGAAGCACTGTCCAGTAATTGTACCTGTAATTCTGGAGGCCCTCCTTCATCTCTGATCAGGAGAAGGTAGCTCTGTCCATCCACGACTATTTCTTTCTTGAAACGGCCACCTGTGGAAAAAACAGATATATTATTAATTCTATTCAAACTTCTGTACAATAATGCGTCTCCTGCGGGTTGGTTCTGACTGCTGAGTATAACAGTGAAAATATTAACACCCCACCAGTTGGTTCTAAAGCAGTAAAAATCACAGAATGAAATCATAAAACCAAAGAATTTCGCCCCAAATTCAATAGAAAACCCAGCTTGAGGTAGCTCGTAAAAGTTTGAACACAGGGGGAAAAGTTTTAAGCACACTTTCTCAGCTTGGATCTCCCCAAAGGTTGTGGGTACGATGTGTATATGTCAACAGGAAAAGAAAGCCTCTCTTTGGAGCCAATTACGGGGGCGCGAGTATGCCATTTAGTGCGTCTAATGCGCAGCTGTGGAGGGGGGAACGGTTCTGCGGTGTGGCTGTCACGGATCCCGGGGAGATATTAAGTTCACTGGAGGAGCAAGCAGGTGCGATGGGAGAGAACAAGAAAAATCAAACGAGAAAAAACAAAATGAATTTGCTCAGAAGGTCAACGGGAGTGGTAGTGAGGGATGAGTCAGAGAGCTTGAATACATTACAATGCAGAGCGGTAAAGTCTAGATGTTAAAGGTTATTGGTCTCCATTCAAAGTTATGTGGCCTTTAAGGAAATTGAGTATGTGAGAGATTGAATCAGAGTCAAAACGTGTTTATTTATTTATCTACTAACTATGCCAGCTTTAGGTGTACGGTTCTAACTGGGGTTGTCAAAAGTATAAAAAATAAATAAATAAAAATTAGATTCTAGATACTCATCTGAGCAGGTATCAATACTAAAAAGGTCACATTCACAGGGAGTAATGAACCTTTCCTGAATAGCTTTAGAATGATCTTGAGCTCTATCAGAACAAGTATAAGAGCACATAAACTAGTATACACCCATGGACCACTGCGGAACCTACCTGGACCACTGAAGTATAAGACCACATGGTAATATAAAATAAAGTATCATATTTTTCGGACTATAAGTCACAGTTTTTTTCATGGTTTGGGTGGTCCTGCGACTTATATATTAAAATGTTCACACTGACAGCCTCGAGAGGGCGCTCTAGACTTGTGTGTCTGCTGCTAATGTTACTCCTGTACCACCATGTCACTTTGCCCACTGCTGTGCATGTCTCCTGCAGAAAAAGCTGCTGTACTGCTGCAAGTAGTGAAAGTTTGGAGTGAGCGAGAAACTTGTGAGGGACTGGCGGAAAGCAGGGATGGAGAACACAGCTTCACAGCAACTGGGAGGGTGTGCCATGCAACTTTCCTGGAAGTCATTGAATGGATTGATAAAGCCTGGACTTCAGTGACAACCAAAACCATCCTGTCGGGATTCAGAAAGGCCGAAATAATTTTGGAACTGGAACTGATGCTGAGTCTGAAGGCAGCTACATAGAAAAGGAAGCGATGCTACATTTACCTCCGGAGGTCGTAGAGTTGCCATGGATCTATAATAATTTATTATAGTTCTATGGGAGTTGCTCAGAAGTGACACCGAGGATGACAAACTGAATAAATGTAGTGATTTGGAGTGAGATGGAGAGTTTGGTAAACTTGTTCTGTTGTGTTGTTTATGCTATAGTTATCTGAAGAACTGTTCATATGTTACGTTAACAGCCTGTTCTCTGTTCTATTGTTATTACTAAAACTTGCCTTTCAAAATGAAATGTCGGTTCCTTGTCTCTGATTTTATGAAATAAATCCCAAATTCCCCCCAAAAAGTGCGATTTATAATCCAGTGCGATTTATGTATGTTTTTTTTCTTCTTCATTAAGCATTTTTTTTGGCTGGTGGGACTTCTACTTCTGAGTGACTTATAGTCCGAAAAATACGGTACTATGATTTAATGTTGAAAATAACATTCTATTGTCTAAAAATGTGTTTTCTATTATAATTTTGGTATGGGCATTGGCATTGAGTATTTCTTCCTTGGTATCAAATTCGAGTTTGAAATTTTGGTATCATGACACTAGTTCTGACTACTACAGGGTAGTCCCAGTCATCACACTTGTATAGAAAATGTTCCACTTTTTCATTGACGCCACATGAATTATATAAAAATAGTGACATTTTTATCGAAAACATATTTTTCTCACAAAGATATGAACACTGTTTGGGTGTACTGACTTTCAGCCTTGTAAAATGCTGGGACCTATTTCTACTCCAATCTCTGTCTGTGCGTTACAACTGATAAAAAGTGAAAGTATATGGTGTTATATTGCAGTTACTATGAGCTTATATTTCGTGAGTCTGTCCCTCCATGTCCCATATTTAACAACTTTTATTTCTTTTTCTACTATTTGGAGTGGCCACCATACTGCCTTGTAATTAAGGATGTGACGATATCCAATTTTTTTCACATATTCATATTTTCATGATATGCATCTCATGGTACGATACTTATTGCGATATTTTGTGGAGGATAACATGATTGTAAATATGCTACTTTTCCCTTTTAAAATGCCTTGATAAGACATTGGTTCTATCATAATAAAAAGACAAGATTTAAATGCGTTTATAACAGTTATTTGTTCAGGTACTAGTAATCGGCACTGAAATGGAGCAAAGGATCATGGTCTACGTAGTTCCCGCAGTTTTTTTAGCTATACTCCTACACTATAACTATTAATTTAAGCAGAGAGACTTGTAATTTGATATATTGTGATGGGCCATGATATTATTGTTAGACTTCTGGCAATATTTCGCAACTGGTAATAAAAAAGCAAAAGTTGTAGGAAACAAGCTTAAGGATCCTCAATGTGTAACAGACTAGTGCAGCAAGAATGATTGCAATTAAATGAAAATTGTAATTTCCTGTGTAAATAAACAAACTATTCTGTCTCATTAGGTAAAACAAACTGGTCACTTTGTACTTTAGACCACCATAAACACATCCTGAGAAGCTTGTATTTGTTTAGCATTATATATTCAGCCTTATCTCTAATGTTAAGGCTCCTATGCGTGTTTAAATGTGCACTTTGAACAGAATCCTGCAATTAAACTAAAATAGCAGTGCTGTCAATCTGAAAAATCGCAATTATATCTTTTTCCTAAACTGTCAAGCATCTGTTCATGAGCTTCAGCTTCCTGGTAAAAGCAAAATGTGTTTACTTTTTACTTTTTATTTATGCATTTGATATCGACAGAGCAATTACACTGGATTAAACCAGACGCATTCTTTCAAGTGTTCTAATAAATAAAATAAAAAAAAGCTACTATTGATACTTTGGAGCTGATGCTGTCGACGTTCTCTGGGGGGATGATGCTAACTGAAGGCTCTGCTCTGTCTGAAGCGCTGTCACTCAAGATTCAGTTAGTTACTCTCACATATTTTGTCAAAAATCAAACACCTAAACAGGAACATGAAGCCGTATATTTATCACAGGCTCCTGAAAATGTGTTGTTTAAATCCCAAAGTATTGAGTATTCTGACCATCTTAACACTTTTTGGGAGTGTTTGCTAATGTGTGCACCACTGTTGGGCAAGTTACTTTAAAACTGTAATGTGTTATTTTTGAGTTGTTACTGTCATTTCAAAGTAATTCATTACATTACAATATTACTGCATTTAAAATGTAATGCATTACATTACTATTGCATTACTTTTAAGTTACTCTCACCAAAATAACTGTGAAGATGCTGAACTTTTGTGCCGTATATGGACTGAACCAGGACTAAACCAGAACTGAACCAGAACTGAACCAGGACTAAATGGAGCTAAACCAGGACTAAACCAGAACTAAACCAGGACTAAACCAAGACTAAACCAAGACTAAACCAGGACTAAACCAGGACTAATCTTGCACTAGAACTTGGAATCTAGGACCACCCCTGAGAGAACCCTCGAGCACGATCGGACGTCAGCTGCCTTTAGCTCCGTGCAGCAGGGGGGAGTTCTGCGCCGGTCCTTTTGCTTGTGATCACGGTCTACGCAAGTGCGTCTCCGCCATTTTACCGCTGCTGATATCGCGGTGATTGTAGCGAATTTGTATGAAGAAAAACAAAAAACCCACCACTTCAATCCAGGTTAAAAAAGCATTGTAACTCGCTTTACTGACATTTGTTCTGAGTAAAATATTACAATTTTTTCCCTGTAATGTAACATTACTGCATTACAGCAAAAAGCAATGCATTACAGTAATTAGTTACTTTTCTAACGCGTTACTCCTAACACTGGTGTGCACTGTGTCTCTATGGTAACTGCTGAACATTCCGCCATAGACATACATGCAGAACACCCCCAGCGTGATGTCACTCCAATTCGAAGTATCAATTATACAACTGTCCATAGGAGACTTTAGGAGCAAATTGAGAACCATTTTCTGTTCAAAAGAAAGGACTTTTCATTTTTATTTCTATGGCAACAGCCCTAATTTTCAATCATTCTGAAACCCAGTAGTAGCATAAGTTCTCACTCAGACATTATATGGGAGCATGTGGACAGAATGGTAATTTCCACCATGGCTAGAATCCAGGCGTAGTGAGAGCTGGGTGCAGGTGCTATTCAGATTTATAGTGAGTGATTTTTGCCTTGCTTTGAGAGACTGCACATCAGAGATAATGTGTTTTCTTTCATCATTTTAAAAGCACGTGTGTGGAGCATGTACTATACTTAGACAGATAAAAAGAGCTCTTATGTGGTTTATATAATTGGGACATTACTGGGACTTTTTCTTGTATAGGAGGAACATTCAGTATTATGATATAGCGTACCATGTACACTACCAGTCAAAAGTTTGGTTACATGTGTTAATGCATGTTTCTTTTGTATTCCCATGATTATTTGGACTGTAGATTTTCACTGAAAGCATCAAAACTATGAATGAACACATATGGCATGAACCAAACAATTTTAAAACAGCCATCCTTTGCTTTGATCACTGCACTCTTTGCCGATGCACTCTTTGCCTTTCTTAAACCTGACAAGGCACAGCTGTGAAGTGAAAACCATTTCAGGAGACTTCATCAAGAAGCTCAGTGAGAGAAGGCC